CGTTAATTATATTTCTTTTTTATTTTTAATCTTTTTTATCTTAATTATTTATATAATAATTTTTAAAGGTATAAGGCTCTTTTTATTACTATATTTTCTTTTTTTATTACTTAACTTTTATTACTTATTTTTTATTTTATTACTTATTTTCTTTACTTTCTTTCCTTATAATTAAAAGCTAAAATATCTTTTAATTAAAAAGGCAAGGTAAAAAAGCAATTTTAATTACCTTTACGCTATAAAATACCTTAGAACCTTAATGCCTTAATTTTAATAATTAAGCTTATTAATTTAAGAAAGAATAATTTAATGCTAATAATTTTAAAACTTCCTTATTTTAATAACTTTAAAGACTTGCTTAGCAAAGTATTGCAATTTTTAAATATTATAAATATTTAAAACTAATAAAACTTTATTTAAGAAGTAAGTGCTAACTTTTTTAAAGATCTTTTTAAAATAAGAATTATTATAAATAAGGTTTGCTTAAATAATATTTAATAATTTTAAACCCTTAATTAGCTATTATTTTTTAATATAAAATAAATAGCATTTAATAATAAGCTTATAAAGATAATATAAGAATATTTTTTAAGTATTAATTTTTATCTTAAGTTAAGAAAATTAATTAAATTAATAAATTTAATAAAATAATATTAAGCCTTTCTTACCCTTAATTTCTTTAATATAAAAGGAATGCTTTATAAATATAAAGAATTAAGAATTTAATATATTATAACCCTTATAATTTAGCAGCTTTTTAATTTTTAAAATATTGTATTCTTATTTAAAGAATCTTTATATTATAATTATACCTTACTTAAGAAATATTAATAATATAAATTAATAAAGGATTATAAATTTATTATTATACTTATTTATATACTTAATTATTAAATAATAGCAATTTTTAATAAGATGGAGAATTATTACTTATTATAGAATAGTTTTATATTAAGAAATAAAAAGAGTAAGATAAATAAAAATGTTAAAGTGCTTATTTATAAATATTTAATAGCTACTTTAAAAAATAAAATATAAGATTTTAATAAGGAATTTATATTAAGATTAAAATAAATTAATAAAATATTTTATAAATAATATATTGCTAAGTTTATTAAAAATTATTTTAAGGAAAATTAAGGAAAGAATAATTAAAAGGTATGGAATTAAGTTAAGGCTTTTTTAATTAAAATTATATATTATAAGATGCTTAAAGCTATTGCTAGCATTATTACTTAAATATTTGCTATTTAATTAAAGCTTAATGAAATTAATAAAGCCATTTAAATATCTATATTAATTCCCCTTATTAAGATTAATAGCATAAAAGTAATTAAAGCAAGAAGTAAGCTCTTATTATAAAGGGACATTATTTAATAATAGCTATTTAAATTATAATATATTAAGATTGCTATTAATTATAAAAAGGGCATAAAAGAAATAATATTTTTAATATAAATTAATTTAATAATTTAATTTTAAATATTTAATATATAATAAGGCATAAACTTTTAAATAACTTAAAATTAATTAAGTATAACTTTAATTAAATAAGCTTTTAGCTTAAGTATTACATTATAGGATATTTTAAAGCTAATAAAAAATGCTTGCCTTAATATATATAAGAATCTTTCTTATTTATTTATTTTAATAATAAATATAAATAAAATTTAAAGCATGTTAATTAATTTAAAATAATTAAAATAATAATAAAGTTTGCTTAAGGATAATTTAAAAGGCTTATAAATAAGTTAGCTAAATAATTAAATATAAGATATAAATATTAAAAGCAAAAGTATTATAAAAAGCAAAAGTAAAAGTAAAAGCTTTATAAGAAATAAAAATAAAAGTTAATAAAGTTAGCATATTATGCTTAATATAATAATTAAAAGAAAGAATAAATTTACTTTCCATTTTATAAAGGTATTTAAATCTTTAATAGCTATATTAATGCTAATTATTAAAGCAAACTTTAATAATTAAAAGAATATAATTAATAAATATATTGCTAAGTAAGTTTTAAAAATATTTAAAGCTTTTATAAAAAAATAAAAGTTATAATAAGATAAGTAAATAAGGAATTAAAGATAATAATAATAATTAGGATTATAATAAAGTAAATTTTAAAACTTAAAGGCTTAATTAAAAATAATAAAGTTTTATTTTAATGGTTTTTATAATATTTATTATAAAATGCTTAAAAAGAGGTATATTAATAAATATAAAGAATTATATAAGAAATAATATTATATTAAATTTTAATTAGCTATAAAAAGCTAGCTTTTATGCTTATTTTAAATATTCTTTTAAAAAATTAACTTTTTTTTTTTTTTATATATTTAATGCTTTAATTAAGCTTTTTTTATTTTTAAGAATTTTTAAAATATTTATCTTTTTCCTTTCTTTAATTCCCTTTTATTCTTATCTTCCCTCTTTATTATATTAAAGCTCCTCCTTAAGTTATCCTTAAGAGGGTTTAGCAAAACCTATCCCCTATTGTTTGGGTGGCTTGTTTTTACTATGCTATTAATAATAGCTATAAATAAAGGATATTTTATATTTAATTATAACGTTAAAAACGCATTTTTATACTTTAATATTAATTTTAAAATATATATAAAATTACCTGTATATATATATAATAAACCAAAATATAAAAATAAAGTTGTAAAACTAAATAAAGCTTTATATAAGCTAAAATAATTACCTATGCTTTAATATAAATACTTAAAAAATATATTAATTAAGCTAGGATTTATTATTTACCCATATAATGAAGAGGTATTTATATACCTTAATAAACAAATTATATTTATATATTATATAAATAATATTATCGTTATAAGACCTAATAATAATGATATAAATTTAATAATTAATAAATTATATAAAAATATAAAACTAAATTTTTAAGGAGATTTAATAAATTTCCTTAAAAGCGATATATATATAAATAGAAAAGATAAATAAATAACCATAAACCAAAATAAATATATAAATAAAATATTAAAAAGATTTAATATAAAAGAAAAGGTTGAGAAAAAGGAAATAATTCCTTAACTTACACTATATACCCCTAATAGAAAATTAAAAAAATACACTAACTAAGCTAATAAAAATACTATAAAATTATATTAGCAATAAATAGGGTTTATATTATATACTAGCTTAAAAACAAGGCTAGATTTAACCTATTTTATAAATAAGTTAGTTAAATATATAGCAAACCCAGGACCAAAGCATATAAAAGAATTAAATAAAATATAGGAATATATATATAAATTCCCGCATATATTTAAAATATATAATTACTCTGGAAATAATTTACAATTAATAAGCTATATAGATTCAAACTAAGGTAACGATATATTTATTGAAAAAAGCACCTCTAGTTATATATTTAGCTTACATAATAATAATAATAATAATAATAATAAAATAAATCCCATAAGCTGGAATTCTTAGCTGCAAAAAACACCAGCACTTTCCTCTGTAAAAGCAAAATATATAGCTTTAAGAGAAGCTATAAAAAAAGCTAAATATCTATATAATTTACTTAAATATTTTAATAATAATTTAAATATTAGCTTTAATCTCAAGCCTCCTACCATATATATAGATAATAATGGGGCTGAGAAATTAGCTAAAAATACCTTATTTCATAAAAGAACTAAACATATAAATATTGCATATCATTATATAAGAGAAGCAATAAAAAATAATAAAGTAATATTAAAACATATAAATTTTAAGCAAAATCTAGCAGACTGGCTTACAAAACCAATAGATAAACTACACTATAAAGAGTCTAAAGAAAAGTATAGTTTAATAAAAAAAATAATATAAAAATATTAAGCCAGAGAATAAAGAGATTTTCTACCTATATTATAATGCGCGCAAAATAAATTAAGGTGTTTACTCTTTAATAACTAGGGTTAAGATTTTTTCCTCCACTTATAAAATATATAAATAAATAAAGCGGACTCAATTATATATATATATAATATTACCCTAAATACTAAAGGTTTTCCCCTAAAAGAAATAACTAAAATAATAAAGGTTTTTCCTAAAAAATAAGCATCACTTACACGGCCCATATATACCATATATACACATAGTCACAATATACCTACACTGCGTTTATATACATTTAATTCTATATAGAAAACATATTTCCATAGTATATATAGTATAAATAAAATAACATGTAACTTTAATATATAAAAATGCCGTAATATATCATAGCCATTATAAAATAACTAGTAAATCCCATATAAAACCATAATCTAATATGTAATACCCTACTAGCTACAAGTTCGAGCTTAAGTAACAGCAAATTTTTAAGTTTTTTGCCTAAATATATAAACACTTAATAAGTGAGTTTTTCCCCTTTTATAAGGTTTTCTCACTATATAACTGAATATTCCTCTTTTATAAACTAAATCCCTTATATATAAAATAAAATAAATAAAAGGGAATTAGTTTAAGGGGGGCTGTTGGAATATTCTAGATATTTAAGCTATTATTAATACGGGATATCCTTTTCCCCATACGTTTGCCACTGTATGGAGGATAATAACTATAAATAGGGGCCTTCCCTCCCGTAGAATAGACGTTAGCTAGCCTAATAGACTAAGCATCCAACGCTATTATTTCAGACAGTCACATGTCAGATATCACGGGCTCGTCACTGATCAGTGCTTTGTATTTCCGTAAGACTCGCAATAATGCAAGCTGCAATCTGGCTGTCTAATTTACCATTATAATGACCAGGGACGGTATATACCTAGTATACATTAGTAACATACATTCATAGCTATTTACTAGCTTTCCTACTAAGTGACTGTCCATTGATCCATTTTGATCACTTCTTCCGGTTTACCACTTAGCATCTGGAACCGTGCCCGTGATCATTTCAAGACCAGTCAAGAAATGTCCAAGACGACCCCTGATTCAAAGGATGCTACGGACTCAAATGCTTCCACCCTACAAACTACAAACTAGAATCTTCCAGCTGTCACAAAAGCCTGGTTGCTATTTTGTAGGTGGCAGGGCGGCTTGTTTCCTCCTGACCCAGAGCCACTCTGTGATATGGGAGTATTGGTGAGCAGGTCGTTCTCCAGATGAGCAAAGGGGAATTGGGGAACAAACCTCCACATTAACATCTGTCTTTACAACAATGCGTCCCACGGCTGGTGGCGGGAAGACGGGTCCTGTTATGCTGTCCACGAAATAGTTGTGAGTGATCCACTGCTGCCCGCGCAAGATAACATCGTAAGAGTGCTTGTTGCGGACAACAAGATCGTTCAATCGGATTTCGTCTCCCTCTGGAACACTCTCCTCAAGCCGCGTCTGATCATCGAATGTCTCGTCGATATCCGTGATGTGGTTCAGACTGCCGAACTGGTTGGAACCGCCCTGCGCGTTTTTACTTCGCCAGTTTCGCGGGCGACCAAACTTATTGTCGGCACTTGGCCCACTGCTGTTCCCGTAAGACGGATAGCCAGAACTTGTGCCAGAAAATTTCTTGTATGCTTTGATTAGCTGAGGCCCGATCACTGGGAGACAGGCGCACACAACCGCAGCGGTCTCGATGGCAGCGGTGAGAATAAGGAAGATAGCGACGCCCCCTGCCAGAGAACTGGAGTCAGCCACACCACCACCACTGGCTCTTGACGAGTTCCAGGGATGATCACTCACAGCTTGGATCCGTTTTGTCGTCAGTGTCGAGGAGGAGATCCAGTATCCGCCCGAGTTCCAGCATACAAGCGACCGCACCGACCCCGAAGACTGCCAGTAGGCCATACTTCCTTTTCCTGCTGACCTTTAACGTGGAAATGGACCATATTGGCAGTACCATAAGCCCCACGTCGGATACGAGACTGAACACCACAGGAAGCGCAACATTGACCACATTTGTGGCATTACACTGCCCTGTGATTCCTCCGGGTACCGGTTTCTTGAACCTCGCATAGTACTGTATAAAGTACCATTGCACGGGGTTGCATTGGAAGAGGTAGAATCCGGTTGCACCTATCCACCACAGAATTATATACACCAGATTCACCCACCAGAAAATGCGCATTGACTCTCCAAGCTATTGAAACAGGTCAGAGAGATATTACACATTCCATGATGGTCTCGGCAAAGACGGCACTTTTTAATGAATAGACAACTTACAATAGTTACCAAGAAAAGCCTCTTATAAAAAAATAGCAGGGTCATCTTGATGCAGAGAAAGAAGCTGGCCATCAAGACCATAGTGATCCAGACATGCTTTTTTTTCTCGCAGGAGCAGTCAGCCGCATTCTGTACAACAAAAACTGCCTTGAGGGTCGAACAGGCTTTGAGAAGACGTTTGATTTACCCTGAAAGTGTGCGAAAGGTCCGTCGGATATGCCGGATCTCTCGAGTTTACACTGAAGGTATGTAGGCCTAGACCGTAATGAGTCGCTACCATGAGGTTTGCTATCACTGCATTTACAAATATCTAGTTGATTCGTTAACATCTCGCATCTTTGATGGGAACTCAAGGATGATTTTCTCACTCCGCTAAGAATGATCTGGCCGTGACCATCAACTGTCAGCATCTCCTCCCTACAAGTCGAGGCAGACGAAGAGGGTGAGAGTCCCATGGGTAAGATTCATGTGAAACCGAAGCTCAATCAGGGCTGGTAAAACCACATACGAATACATCCTCCGCAGTGACTTTCTTTCGGTTCAGACTTGCACCCCACTTGATCCAGATCCTTGCGAAGATGGCAAGATTGTTGATGATGATGAAAGCGATGAGTGATGCCCAGAGCGCTGGCTGCCTTGTATCATGATCAAAAGGCTCCTGCTCTGGAGTAAGCTGATAAGTGGACATTTCCGACCAAGTCCTGACATCTCCTAGTAGAGCTCGCCGAGGAACAACCAGTTCTCTGAATAGATGTCGTGTAGTATCCCTGCAGAAGAAGCGAGGGGATGAAGAAAGCGACGAATAAGCAGATCCCTATTATGAGGACGTGAACGTCAGAACAGTCTTCAAATACGGAGCGCCGGGCAAAACGCCATGTCGTAAGATGTGACCGATCATGTTGGCAGGTGGGCAGCCAAATGTAGGCTCTTACGCCCTTCAAGAACCGCCCTCCCCATCGTCCTCCGACACAGCGTGTGTTGCACAGAGTACTAGTTCGGTAAAGTCTCACAGCATGAAAAGGTGACCACTTGCGAGGCTACGAGCCTTAGGGGGCTGGAGTTACAACAACCTTGGAAGCGTCCGAACACATACATAGGATGATCGAGGTAGCTTCGGAGGGCTGCATGACTGCAGAAACCTTCTAATCAGACTTCGACCACCAAATGCTGTAAGCCGCCCACATTGCATTGGATGCAACTGCAGGTGGACAAACATTGGCAATTGCTTGATCTTTCGCCAGGGAGGGTGGTCAGATTACGGATGCACCCTTGAATCCCACGAACCTAGTTGGGCGAATAGTCATGTCGCCGTAGCGCGCCTTGAACTCAATCAAGCCAATCCGATGGGGCAGTCCGTCACACGACATGGTAAAGTCAGCGCAGCCCATCATGAAGCAAAGACCGGGATTTATCGTGAACTCAAACGATTGGTAACAACTTGTTGGGAGCCAGTTGCTGTAAGCTGTATATTGTCTGGGTCACAGCATCAAATTGGCACACGTCCCGGGTGTAGTTGTAGTGTTTCCCTGTGTTCCTACATGTCATACTACCTTTCGGTCCCCGGATGGACCGGTTAAGGAATGTGATACCCAACGAGTGATATTCTGTGTAGCACCAAAGGACACACGGGCGTCTCCTCATTCGTTCAGCTTGCCCGACTGCGGATCATCGCCAGAGCCAAAATGGCCAGCTTCACATCGCTTGCGATTTAATCGGCATCCATTCGGAGCCAGGAACATGAGCAGGCAAGGGAGGGGAAGTAAGCCTATTTTTACTTCAACCTCACACTCCCACTTTCACACCTCAGCTTGAAGAGGGCAAATCATTCGTCTCTTTACCTCCATACCTTTTAGGCTTCTGAGTCGGGAATCTTGGCTGCTTACCATCCCCACCTTCGCCCGTCAACGCTGAAAGCTGAAGGGCGTCATGTCCCAGATTACGACTCCGGATTCACCAAAGTCAGAGACATACACACCTGCTTCGTCACAGCCTATCGAGTCACAAGATGGCCACGACCAAAGAAACACGGTATACTATACACCGCAGCAGGAAGCGCGTGTTGTCCGCAAACTAGATCTCAACCTTATGACCCTGTTCTTTTTCTTGTGTGAGTGCAACGCAATGCCAGCCCTTTCCTGGCCCCATCGCACTACTCCGGGAGCTGACTGTTACACCTGCCAAGACATGCTGGCCTTTCTTGATAGGTCAAACATCGGAAATGCAAAGATTGCGGGCATGCAGAAGGAACTCAAAATTGATAGTGACGACTACCAGTGGTTGCTCAACATCTTCTACATCGCCTACGTCGTTGCCGAGTTTGCAGTGATATTGTGGAAGTTGTTCCCTCCACACTTGGTCGGTGCAGTCGTGGTCTTTGGCTGGGGGCTTGTAGCCACCGCCCAGGCCGGCACTCATTCATGGAGTGCTATGATGGCCTTGAGATTTCTTCTGGGGGCCTTTGAAGCGGCTTACGCGTAAGCCAAGTCATTCCATCCACCACCCCATGCGGTGCTACAACTTCGCAACTAACACGTGTGATCCTCCACCAGGCCCGGTATCATTTATCTCTTGTCCTTTTTCTACCTGCGTCATGAAGTCGGATTTAGATGCGGCATCTTCGCCTCGGCAGCTCCGCTGGCATCTACTTTCGCCGGTGCTCTGGCCTTCGGGATCACCAGCGGCCATGCACAGCTCGCCAACTGGCGGCTGCTGTTCCTCGTGGAAGGCCTTCCGACCGTCGTGATGGCGGCCGTGGCCTTCTTCTTCATCCCGGACTCGCCAGAAAAGGTTAGGTTCCTGACAACCGACGAAAAGGATATTACACGGTCAAGAGCAGTACGGCAGGTCGGCACAAACCCAGACTCGAGGGTCGGGGAGTTTAACATCAAGGACATCGGGCCTGCCCTCATCGACGTCAAGGTCTGGCTATGCGGTCTGATGTATTTCTGCGGCAATGTCTCCTACTCAAGCCTGCCAGTCTTCTTGCCGACCATTCTCGAGGACATGGGTTATACTGCGATCAATGCACAAGGTCTTTCCACTCCCCCTTCCTTTGCAGCCTTCTTATTCGCCCTCATCACAACTTGGGTCGCAGACAAGACTCAGCAGCGCTGCTTTGTTGTCTTCTGCACCTCTGTGGTAGGAGGAATCGGCTACATCATTCTCGCTACCGTAGATACCGTCGGGGTTCGCTATTTTGCTACCTTTCTAGCCTCAGCAGGAGTCTTCTCAACCATTCCCAACATCCTTCCGCTAACGCTCAGTAAGTAACTCGCACATATCTCAACAGAGGGTACCTCAGCAGGCTGACCAACCAATCTCAGACAACCAGGGCAGCGACAGCCGCCGCGGAATGTCCATCGTGATGATCAACCTCATCGGCCAGTGTGGGCCCTTCCTGGGCACGACCAGGTTTCCCTCCAGCCAGGCACCGAGATACGTCAAGGGTATGAGCATCTGCGCAGCATTCATGTTCTTCTCGGCCCTGCTGGCTCTGGCACAGCGTCTTCTGCTGGCGTGGGAGAACAAGAGGCTCGACCGAAAGTATGGATCCGTTGCGGGAAACAGCGTAAAAGCAGCAGAGGGTGTTATGGTGGAGAACTATGGGCCGAATTTTCGATATGTACTCTGATACAGAGGCTACATAAGATATATGCTGTTTGACAGTGATGCAAGGTCTCAATTGAAGCCTCTAGGGAATACTTTGCTGAAGAAGAGCGCTCTAATACAACATACAAAGTTTCGGCTACCCAAGCTCTTCAAGTTCTAGATAATTATGCTTTTTCCCAGCCGAGCCCTCCATCTAGTTCAATCAGCGTTACCGGCTGGGATTGCCCAGCATGGACAGGTCTTCCACTCTCACTGTAGTTTCCTAGACGCCGAAGAGGGGATCAGGGTACCTGAAAATTATCTCGATCTTGTGATGTTCTCCCTCCCCAGAAGTTGCACTTCTTGCCGCCCGGCCTTAATGATGGTGCGGACCCCCTTTCCAGAACACGTAGGGCGCTATCAATTGAAGATCCACGGCCTTCGAGACTGAGTACATAACTTTATCACATGGCAGCACTTCGGCCGGCTGATTATTCACTTCATTGGCCTGGAAAAATCTCGTTCGTTCCACAGAGGGCCAGTCTTGGGCACCATATAAGATATTGATCGGAGTGGGCTGTGACTGAGAGGTCGAGTGAAAATCACTTTTCGCATGCTGAGTTATGCGTTGATCATTGGGTCTCAATATCAGGTCTTATAGAGGTATGCTCGGAAGCTGAGCTTCTATTTCCATGCGGTCCTTACAAGTGGAAGCCCTGGCTCAGCGTCTTCATAATACCAGCTGGGTCGGCTTTTGCTTGAGCATTCTTTGCGAGTTCGCTCTTTTCTGACTTCAGCCGACCCCAATAATCCTGCCGGAAGTAGCAGTCATTCATGAAAAGAGGCAGATACGCGTCTGGAAGGGACCCATCGGCGACATACTATAACGTTGTCAGTGATCCCAGGGCGCCAATATCAGAAATTTTACCCCGACGAGCCCGTGTCTTCCAAGCCTTTTGCAGATACTGATCCACTGTAGACTCAAGAGGGCCTTGCTCTAGAGTTGGCTGGGACCCAGCCACTCTGTAGGTCGTTCAGGGTTGAAAAGAATGCCAGCCACTTACACCATTGACAAGTTTCTGCAGGCCTGAATATGCTTCCACCATGGCTCCATCGACAGTGACAGAATCGAGGTCCTCAAACACATACGAGTAGTCCAGCTCAAAGATTAGCCTGTCGATGTCATCGTCGAAGCCCAGCAAATCTCCCCCTTTCTGTTTGGCCACTGTGGCAAGTGACTTGGGCAGGGGCTGCAGTGCCAACGAAGCGATCTATGAATTATCATCAGCAACGCCGTCTTGAAACAAGATAAGAGCGCCTCAATGGACCCGATAAAAGCCAATAGGTGTCCTTTCCAAAGTACCTACCATTCCGAAAACACCAGAGTGTTTAGCTGAAGTATTGTGCCAGTGGTCATAATACGAACGCATGATATCTGGTCGATCTGCTGGCGGCAAGGGCGTTGTCTCTGTCCCGATCGTGTAGACGCTGCCCTTCAGGACGAATGCGTTGTTAGACGTGAGCAGATCGCTGTAAGACCTGGTCTTGCAGGTGTTCACATTCGGCTTGAGTGCAAGGAACTCGTCGAAGACGCCTGCGGGAGGCTCGGGGCCGTCGTAGAAGAGGAACAGGATCCAGAGGTCTGTGGAGTTTCCGAGCGTGAGCTCAGACGTCACAATGATTCCTGCCTTGGGGTCGTCATAGTGCTCCGTGAAGTTTCGCACCGCTGAGAGGATTCCATCTGTCTTCTGCGCGCCGAGGAATACGAGATTGCCCCCCCAGATCTGCCCTATCGGGTAAGTCTTGAGGACATAGGTCGTCACGATTCCGAAGTTGCTCCCGCCTCCCTTGATGGCCTCGAACACGTCAGTGTTTGTTGTGTTTGACGCGGTAATGATTGTGCCGTTGGGGAGAACCATCTCGACAGAGACGATGTTGTTGGCAGCCCATCCGTACTGGGTGCTGAGGAAACTCAAGCCGCCCCCGAGAAGGTAGCCTCCGACGCCGACGTTACCGATTCTTCCTCCGACAACAGTCACCCCGAGTGGATCGAGCACTTTATGGATGTCCTCCCACTTGTTGCCTGGACCAACTCTAACAGTACCACTGGCCGCATCGTAAACCACTTCGTTGAGTTGCGATGTGGAGATCAATGCCCCATCGGCGATGCTGGCAAAGTATTTGTTCGGGTTGTGTCCTCCAGACTTGACTGCGAAGGACTCATTGTTGGCAACCAAGGTCTGCATGATATGGGACAGCTCGCCTGCAGAGGTGGGCTCTAAGATGCATGCTGGCTTGAGTGCGCTGCATCCTGTCGACCTGATTTCACGCATGTGAGCTTGTAGAGCTTGCGAATGATAAGAGAGGATAGATACACTTACCAGTAGTCATTGGTAACACGAGTGTATTCTATGGCCGGAGAACGGAATATGTCGATATTAGATGTCGAGCCCAGGTCTTTGCATATTGCCGACTCGGCTTGAGCTAACTCAGCGAGCGTCAACAGCGAGCAAGCGCACAGAGAAGCGAGTGTGGAAAGTGCAGAACGCATGGTGAACATCGCGACCAGGGGTGGAACGAAAACCCGAGCTGGATCCACAGCCGATCCTGAGCAAGGACTGAGGAAACTGAAAACTCGAGTCAGCCCCAGAATCGTACACGGCCTGGGTCTTTATTATTTGGATCTCCCCTGCAGCCAGCGGCCAGGAAACACTATCCGGCTCCATCATGATTGACGGCTCGGAGGTTCTGCATTAGGAAACTGTTTTTCCGTGCATGGATACACGCATGTGCAGCAGTGTGGGCCCCCACGAACATGCGCTATCGTAAGCTAGGCGGTTAAGACTGGATGAGAAATAGGAGAGGTCGCAAGACCGGTGGGTGCGGTGGAAGGTGTGCCCCCGAAAAAGGAGTTGACAGCAAGCGGAATCCCGCTTTTTTGAGACCCATCCACCGCAGTATTGCACGATCTTTGCAGCATCAGCTTCAACCTTGAATAATGCCGTGGCCCATGCCACCGGCTGGGCGCATCACTTGAGCCGTTGCCTCACCTGAGTAGACTGACTTTGCGGTGGCCAGTACCGTTCATACGGACAGGTCACATCTCGTGTTGATTGCGATTTCCCAATGACTTCATGTCTGACGATTTTGAGTTGAAGCTAGCACATATATGCGCTTGAAGAAGCAAGTCACTATCTCGGTTATCTGTATGCGGCAACGACGGATCGACCGGTTTGCTGAACTCAAGTGCCGATATCCATTGCCAATGCTCCCGTTCCCTTTCAAGCCACAAAGTTTTGAGAAATGCCTGAAGCGGAGTATACAACCGCAACGTCCAAGGCTGGGTGTTGGAAAATGTAGGAAATGTTGGAAGTCCAATATAAAAATACAAGCCTGAAATCCGGCATAGACCCGATTTTTGATTCCACCCACGGACCCTCTTTTCGGGCTAGCGTCGCGAACACGACGCGGCCCGCGGGACGGAAACATCAAGATGCAATGCAGTTGAGGGCGTTCGAAGAGTCGGCATTATTTAATCCATACGTTGAGACGAGTCAGGGCCAATACGACGGATTGGCCGATTCCTGGATAATAATGTACAGGAGTTGGTCGTAATGCCAAGAGCCATGTAAGCATGGATGCAGGTCAACCCATACCTATAGCCTGACCTATAAGTCATTTAAGCATACTTCATAGATAGCCGCCTAGATTAACTTCTTGTGACAACCAAACTTCGGTTGTGGTGGAGTTGACCAATCACATCTCAGCCTGGTTACGCGCAGTTCATCGTTGACCTCTTTCGCATACTACCATAATGAATACAGAACATAAACGATTATTTTCCTAAAGACTTTTAGGTATTATAGGTTACTAGGTTAACAAGACGAGCCTCCTTACAGGAGCGGAAATGGGGACAGGATATCACTTGCTTGTATTTCTTACAATTATTGCTTTTGCAGACCTTTCCTTGGCTCCAACCTAGCCTTGATTGATGTCAGGATACTCATACCATCTATGTTGTTGGTAGAAGCGGTCTACATGCCTGCAGGAGAAGAACACCTACATGGGTGTATGGGTGTTGGGTGTGTTCCTACTCAGGCTGTGTGTGAGTGTGTAAGTAGGCCTGAGTGATACACGGGTGTACCCTCCATTTTCACGGGTGCGAATATCCGTTCTCATATTCTAGACATATCGCTCATATTCGCGCCTGCGGCTGTCCATGGGTGGTCGTTCTGGCTGCACACTACTCCCATGCATAAGTATGCGCTTCTAACCAAATTTGCTCCAAGCACTGCTCATAAACTCCAAAGCAAGCTCATTGGCATTCTTGTCACCGACCGGGAGCAGTTGCGTCGCGAAAAACATGCCCAACCCTTTTTCCCGGTTCATGGCCCAGAGCACATTCGGCATCCCTTCCCACGTCACCGTGCCCCTGGGCATCCGCGATAGCGGGAGCTCTTCATCCTCCACAACCAGACCAGCTGCGCTCCAGTTCAGCAAGGGTGCTGCACTCCCAGCTGCGGGTGTTCCCGCGCAAAATTTATAGTTCTCGTTGCTTCCGCGCAGATCGGTCATGGACGCGCTTGATGGTGTGAGCTGACCAGCAAAGAGAAGGTCGATATGCTGCTCTTGCTCAAGCAACTTTGGGACCGGCGAGACCAGATCGCTAAGAACTGCGCCAAAATCTAACATGCTGCATGTCAAGCCTTGTGACGCGTCGTCCGCCGGTATAAGCCTGTCGCCATCTCGTTCCACCATCCTCAGGCGTCTGTCCCAGATATCAGCGTTGGCTTGCGGTGCATAAGTCGAAGACACCATGGAGAGAGGGGCGAAGATATGCTCCTGGACGTGTCTGACAAAATTGCCGCCATCACTGAGCCGTTTGATGAGTAGTTGAGTCCAGTGGATGCTGTGTCCATACGCAAAGCCCTCGCCGGGCTCAAATATGAGGGGAATCGAGAAATGTTTGACGATCGGGTCTGCATCCTCGGCGACTTTCGGCTTTTCAAGTGTATCTGAAGCAAGATACTCGCTCACCAGAGGGACTTCGGGATCAGAAAGGCCGCTCGTATGGAGAAGCAGGCGACGGAGCGTTGTCTCGTTAGCCGGTCTGCGGAGCGAGAGCGACTGGCCATCCTGATCACCACCCCGGGTGACCAGAGGGAGGAGCTCAAGCTCCGGAAGGTAACTGTAGACGGGCTCATCAAGACCAATTTTCCCACACTCGACGAGTTGCAAGGCTGCGACGTGAGTGATAAACTTCCCAGCCGAGGCAAGAACAATTGTGCTATTCGGGTCGAGCGGCGAAGCATCCGTGTCTAAGGATTGACGACCTGACGCATGATGATACAGCACGTCACCTGTCGTATGTCAGATTGGCTGCACACCTCCTAAAATCCACTGCTTAGGTTTTGCACCAAACCTTTGGCATTGACTACTAAGCCGATGGCACCAAGAATCCCCTCCCTGTTGTTGGGTGCTGTTGCCCGGCCGAGTTTCGCTTCGAAAGATTGCATTGTGATTGAGAGACTTATTCTCGATTTTCGAGGAGTGCTAGGCTCTAAGGATTGTCTTACTTAGAGCAGAGTGGTGTCTCAAGGGTCATTCACTAGTGAATGCAAGGGGAAGAAATGCTCGCTACATTGGTTGATATAGTTGAGGAGCCTACGCTGGTGCCTAAGATATAGCTTGTGTCCTCCCGTATGGATTTGAAACACCCTCCTGGCACTAGCTTCACAGGCTGCCAGTTATCTCGAGCGAGGGTGCTCTGACTGACCAAACTGCAGCGAATCTTTGGGTTGCCTATGATCAAAACATATACTATCACCGATAAGGGAAGGATTGGTCGAATTTTCGCTAATGATAGGCCGACAGAGGCGCAACGTGTGCGACCACACTTTCACGATGGGCTACACCCTGCAGTAAGAATTCGGGCGCACATCTGCACTTCCTGTTGGCCCATCAAATTCAATGGTCATTCAGGAGCTTTCATGCGGAGGGCGAAGTCAGATGCACCGCCCCGCCGACAATTTCTGGGCATCCGGCTGAGATGTCCATCTATTTCAGTCGCGGTTCTTCTCCCATCTTCAATATGCCACTAGCATAAACAGCATCTCATCCTTCACACGCAAAGTCTACGGGGATTGATCAAAGATACAAAGTCATTCGCGTCCACACAATCATTTGCTCAGGTACGTTACAACTTGCGGTACATAACACCAACACCATGTCAGCATCAAAACAGGCAGCAATGCTGGACATGTTGATCCAGGAAGCTCTTGTACAACAAGCCCAACAAGCAGCAGCTTGCCAACAGGGTCAGCTGGCGTCGTGGGAAGATATGGTAGTATATTTGGAGTGCGAACTGGGGAGAAGGTGGGGCCTACGAGTGAAGAGGCTTCCCATTGCCCAGCTCCAGGGCTTATATACGACATACCTGTCTCTATGCCCCAACTCCCGTCCAGGCGTGCCATAGATACTGGAATCCACATGCCTTCCACCAGAGGAAGAGGTCCTGAATAAGAAAACCTACCACTACGCCCCTTGCCCACAACAGGTACAGAACCCACTCCTCCGAATCCCGTGGCTACACATCTTATTTGAGCCGGGAATGCATACTAGTGATTTCTGGACAAAGCGTACGCCGAAGAAACTCATGCAGATGCTCAACTACCTCAGTCCAGACCCAGTCATTGGCTGGGGCGTGCACATCGCGGAAGGACCAAACTCTCACGCTCTTGCTGTTCTGATCGTCATTTTCAGCGTTCTGAGCCTCGCAATTTCTCTAATTTACTCGGCTGTCACAGGAGATGTGTCTGGCGGCTTCGCTATAGGGGGCTTTCTTCGTTGCCGCAGAGACAATGATGGTGACGTGGGTGCTGGCGGTCGTGACCACATCCCTACGGTACAATAAATAGAAGGGTAGAAGACAACCACAGAGGGTCTAGGGGGTTGAGGACACAAGGTCTGCATGTATAGAAACATAACTACAGTCAGACTATCAGCTCCAGAGACAATTCTATCATTTCCTTTTCTTAAACAGCTACGAGATCGCTAATGAAATACTCAAAGCCAACTGAGTAAATAGTCAAAATCAGGAAGCAAAGTTTTAATGACCACGTTTTTCAAAAGCAGGTTTCAGACCCCAAGCTTAAAATAGCGTTATGTGAATTCCAAACCAAACAAAACGACGGAAGGATATCCATTGGGAGCTTCTTGGGTCAGTGGATTGAGGGAAAGAACTCATACGGGATAGCCCTTGCGTCGAAGTAGATAAAGTGTTTCCTCTTCCAATTCTCTGTTGATCAGGTCCGTCTATCATTGTTCAGTAGCTGCCAGTGGAAGAAAATATCAATAGAATCATGCTTTCCCCGACATTACACCGTGCAGTAGCTGGGACCAACTACGCAAAAAGCCAAGGGAAAGTACGTCAGAAGTGACCGTGACGGGAAGAAAAGGAACGCCGACCCCTTCCCTTCGGTGGCGGGCTGAGTCGTTGCGTGAAGCCGTGCGCCCACTTCCCAGTAATTCAAAGCCAGGAATCCACGCCTGGTTCTATCTTCACGCCCTTGTGCTGCGTAGAATGCTTCGTATGAGGCTATATTGCGTGGACGTCAGTGCTTCCATTGCCATCTGTTTTATTTCCTGGGTAGGGGGCCAACTGCTCACCGTCTCACGGGCACCGGCTAGGTCAATGCCATCGTCAACCAACGGTGGAGAGAATCGAGGTGGCTCTTGAGTCGCCTTGCTCTTCAACATGATCACTCGCTGTCTGAAGGCTTTAGCTTCGTCAAGGCCATCTTCCTTGAGAAACTGACCGTCTAGGTGGCGGTAGTTGATGGGCCGGAGGTGCTTCGCCATGACCCAAGCAAGGTTCTGAGGTTGTGGAGACCCCTCGTCTCGGGGCAGGACTGCAGAGATGCCTTCAAAGAACATGCAAGGGAACTTGCGCTCAGAGACGCGACGGTGGTGTAATTCGAAGTCTCTCTTCCATCCCACGATCCGCAAGCCGTCCTGGGTCTCCTCGACGGCAAAGCAGGTTGGGAGGCTCATATTGAAGAGGGCTGTCTCGTCCAAGCTGCCGGCCAGCCCGACGCCGCGCAGATCTCCCCATGGCAACACGGCCACCGGGTACCAGGAGTGGTCACTGGCCCAGTAGGCTTGGTATATCTCCCCCGGAATAGGATCCAAGACGGTCGGCGAGGGATCAAGTTGCTGCCAAAGCTCATGTGCTCGAGCATCACCTCTCTGACTCTTGGGCATCTCGGAGTAGGCTTCATCCGAGTCCGAGTCGGAGTCTTCAAGATCTTCGGACTGCCTTTGACCTGAGTTGGAATGACGGTGAGGACCGTCGACCGGCGCGTGCACTGGACAATCTCTGTTGTTGCAGCGTCGGCTCGGGCGGTAACCTTGCCCCACGGCGCGATCAAACGCATCGTTGTTCCGCTTCCTCTTTCCTGGGTCGCAGCCAACGACCCGTACGCCCAGTTCTTTGACTGCTTGATCCGATGTCCAATGACGCTCAGGGTGTCCATTGCGCTGTCTCATGAGATGCTTTGCTGCCCCTCTGCCATCCTTGAGACCTGTGCAGTGCTTCTTGCAGCGGAATATGTACCACTTCTTTGAATTGAGAGTATGCTCGGAGATTCTGTAGATCTTTTCTCCCTTTCTCCAATTCTTCTTTTCGGCGTTGACTTGATCAAAATGTATCGTTCTCGCAGCCTTCTTGTGCCTTTTCGCCAGCGGCTCGTCAGACTCCGATTCTGAACCGGAGACCTGGCTCCGGCGTCTCGTCTTTGATTGTTTTCCTCTGGCTGCATTTGCATATGTGGTGTTAGCTTACACTGAGGGAGGTGAAAATGCCGGGAACCTATGGAGTATACTTACTATGTCGTACGGGTTCGGCTCCTCGCGGCGTGCAGATTGAACAGCGGTGACTATGATGGCCTCGGCATCTGCCTGTGCTCTCCGAATGGAACTAGGCCGATTTTCTGCAAGCTCAAGACGAGCACTACCAGTAGACTCTCTGTTGGCGTGTGTCCCTTCAGCGTGGGTGCTTGACAAGAAAGATGTGTTCACGCGACCAAATCGACTGGAAGCGGGCGATGGTGCCGGACCTGAGTTCTGGTACTCTGCAATTTTCTCAGTGACCGTCATTTCTAAGTGGAGAATGCCATTGGTTACTTACCTTGTGGTGTTGCCCGATATGGTTTCCATCCAGGGGTGGCTCTCTCCGCTTGATACCGCCCTTGTCGATCTCGGAAGAACACAGCGGCATTCGAAGAGGGCTTTGGCAATCTGTGTTGCGGTGTGATCATGGGGACGGCTGAAGTGCGACTGGTTTTTGGTGCTTGAGCAGGAGTTGGACCTGGGCACACAGTAGCTGACGGTACAACGGGCTGACCGTTCAGTGAATGTGAGTTTGAACGGGATGCCAATGTCGACTGTCTGAATTCCGTGGAGCTGATAGTCTCCAGCGATGATTGTCTAGAACGCTCGTTCCTTTGCTCGTGCATGGAGCGCGTCGACGAGAATCCTTCAGCAGCAAAAGAAGATGCCCCTGTGAGCAGGCTCGTCTGCCTCTGAGCGACATCGTTTGCGGCGCTCTGCAGTCGGGGGTTACATGTCAATTGATGGAGCGGGAAGCCATGTGGCTTTGACTTACGGTGGTCAACGAGTCTGGCTGGTTTTGCCGATGCCAAAGGTCCTCCAGCTGCTCCCTCAGTCTTCGCGTCTCCTCCTTTCGAATCAGGGCGTACGCCGCTGGCAGACCTTCAAGCTTGTTCTGAACCTTCTCAATGTCGCGTACTATGGCGTCTTTTTTCTCGCCTGGACGATCGCGGTCTGCTCTGATGCGGCATAAATCTGAGTTCCATCTATCCGCTTCGGCGAATAGTGCCTCAATGTCCGGAGAACCTTCTCGGTGCATCCATGGCCGACTGAGGAGCTGTCCGAGCTTTTCAGTTGCTCTCGAATCCTCCAGCTCCACGTCACTCAGATGCTTCTTCAGCTGTCTCAACTCGTCTTCAAGCTCTTCTGTTTCCATCTGTTGTTTTTGCTGCTGATCGACACACCATGCCTCGTGGTTGGCCTTGATACGTTGGTACTCTTCGCTTCTCTTCTTGCACATGTCTTCGAGTTTGTCGGCTCCGAAGAGATGTTCACGTTCAGCGTTCGCCATGGCCTACCGAGGTATTGAGAGCTCGCAAGGCCCAGTCGATATCGACAAATTGTTGCGGATCAAGTGGCAGCCTCGGTGATTGCAAGCCAGCAAGCAATTGTATGATTTGAAGAAAAGTCATTTGGGGAGGTGAATGAATCTGTATGCATGGAAAAGCCACTGTGCGTTTGGATCAAAACTGGGCCCAGCGTGCTAGCAAACGTTGTCTCGGTGGTGCCGAGAACCTTCCAACTATTTCACGTGAAATATGCCGCAGGCCTTGTCGGCTGTAGACATCGACTGAAACCAGCATCTTGTTCTCCCAGTCTCGGATAGCAGGTTCATCTCAAGTAGCGGTCTGACACCTCCTCATCACTCAAAAATGGATAAATGGATTCGCCAGGGAAATGAAAGACTCTGAGAGGACTGAGGTGTAAGCAGTGATGCCGTGGCGCGGTGATATATCATATAGTGCTCCTGTGAATAATCGCCCTGTGATCATATCCTTTCACCACTGAATCTCAGAAATTCGCGTGATGTTATCAATGCAGGCCGCATGAAGGACATCCCATCGGTATGGCGTTTACGGGGCCTCACCGCTCCTGACCTCATGGAAACATTTCATTTCAGACGCAGCTACCCGACAACCCAAGACTCAGGCACCCGCTGCTTCTTTGTAGTTGAGGTCGGAATCAAGGGAAGTGTGATTGCCAGCGTCTCCGCGTGAAACATTTCGGTCAGATGTGTCGTAAAAAGTGGCCCGTAGCATGAATTTGCTGCCTGCGTCCATGCCGTCGCGAGTTGACGGTGGCGGACGCGGGAAGCTGCCCTCCCATTGGCTCTGCAAGCCTGGCGAACTTTACTCAGCTGGCATGGACGTGACCACAGATGAGAACGGTGTCACTGCAAGATACTCTCTTCGTGGCGCAGCCCAGCAGGCATTGCCACTTTTTTTTTTTTTTTTTTTTTTTTCCCAACGTGTCTTCTTCTTTAATGTTTTTATTGTGAAAGCTTTGCAGCTGGGCACATTGGGAATACTGCTATAGATGGACCAATGGGATCCTCAACCACTGTTTCAACTCTTGCCGACTGATCTCGAGGATCAGCATACTAAAAGGTAAGTTTTCATTTGGCACTGCTATTGACTTGGCCAAGGGGCGTCGAGAAGAAGTGACGATCCAGTTCCTCTGAATGCTACTGCAGTGCAACTAAGCCCAAGGCTCGGACCGAGAGCTTGGCATGTTCGGACCGAACTTTGGACAGTGCGACTCGTGTTTCGCATCTACATGGCCGTGAAACCGCAGCTGATGCTCACCTCACCTCGTTAGCGGCGCGCTATTGTGTGTTCTTTCTAACTTCATCTCACTCACCATCTAAGACAACCTCTCTCCCGAACCCCAGTCAGTTCCCGACAATGCCAGGAGCATGATGGATCACGACGACGACGATGTAGACCTGGACATTGTTCCCCTCGTGGGGAAGCACGTCTCGTCGAACCCCGTGGAAGACGCAGCGGCGGTCCGAGAACCAAGAAGATGGGACTTCTTCGTCTTGACGGTTCCGTTTTTCGGGTGCGCATGTCACTGTGACAAAGACCAAAATCGAGGAGCTGGCTAACCAGACACGGACCATAGTCTACAGCTTGCCTGGACGATCCAGCAGGTATACGGGATTGTGAGTTGCCCTGCAGACTGTGGCACATCTTGAATGTTTGAGGACTGACGGCAACCCGCCAGCCTTATCTGTCGTCTCTCGGGATACCCAACACTCAGATGCCAATCTTTGTGCTGTCTGGGCCACTGGCAGGTCTCATCGGGCCGCCAGTTGTGGCAGCACTCAGCGAAACATGTGGTGGCCGTTGGGGAAGGAGAAAACCATTCATCTTCATCGGCGGCGCAGGGACCATTATCTCCTTCCTCGTCCTGGCAGCCGCTGAGTCTCTGGCAGTGAGGTTGGAGTGCAGCATCCTCGGCTCTGCGTCGTCTGAAGGAACAAAGACAACCTCGCATGTTGTCGCCGGCCTGAGCATATACGCCCTGAACTTCTCCATCCAACCTCTGTCGCTCGGTCTTCGTGCTTCAGTGGTTGACTGCTTCCGTCCGCACCATCAGCCCTCGGCAATGCTGTGGGTCAGCCGCTTCTCAGCCCTGGGGTCAGTATTTGTCGCTCTCCTTGGGCTGGGGTATAGTCCAGCCTTCTGGGATCTGAGCGTCGTGGTGACGTCGATTGTGGCCCTGCTACTATGCGTCGTGGCCTTGACAAACACTGCGAGGCTTGGACCGCTGCGGTATGTGGGCCGAGGAAGAGATGGAATTACTGGCCAGGTCTCTCTGTATGATCACGTCCGCCGGCTTATCAAGAAGGCACGTCATCTACCGCCCACGACACGACAAACTTGTCGCGTGCAGCTTGTGTCATGGTTCGCTTGGTTCTTGGTGCTGCACTACACCAGCGCGTAAGTCTCTGCCCCCATCTCATGCAATAGCATAGGCCAAATGCTTTGAAGCGAAGTTTCTGTGCTAATCAGTTCTTCTGATCATCAGGCTCACTTCTTTCGTCTGTACGTATCGTGAATCCCACGACTGGCATCAGGTGGCGTAAATACTGACTGCCTCTTAGATGAAGGGACCAAGGTTTCTGATACTCCGGGTCAAACATCATCATCACCGCCATCTGGATCTGCAACTGCAATGTCTCGCGTCGCGTTGCTCTTTCACACCACCGCTCTTGTGACTCTTGTGACCGTCTCGATAGTCTGGCAACGATCTGGCAAGCCAGGACAGACCCACGCGGGGACTGATGATGAGGACGTGCTTCGTCGCCACAGCATCAAATTAGCCCACACGCGCGACACACTTATGGGCTGGGTCTGGCGGCCAAGCCTGGCGGCCCTTGCGGCCTCCTTGACTGGAATTTGTCTGTTTGTCTTTGTGGCCACCAGGCCATTTTCGTCCACCATCGCAACCGCGGTATCCTTGTTGCTCGGCGGTAACGGGATCCTGTTTGCGTTATCGAACTGGGTACCGTACGCGCTGATCGCGTGCGAGGCTTCGGCACAGGCTCGGTCACGGCTTCTTGCGATCGCAGAGGACACTTCTACCACAGATGAGGATGGCATCCCAATGCTGCCAGCGGATGGCGACGAAGGCGACTCTGATAACGTGGAGTTACATGACGATACCCCTTTACTCCTGGCTGTTCACAACATGGCAATAACAGTGCCGCAAATTGTGGCATCGGTAGCGAGTTGGGTTTTGATGCAATTGCTGGCGGCATTTGGGCTCGAGCAGGATGTTGTGTGGGTTTTTGCCCTGTGTGTCCCACCTGCGCTTTGGGCAGCTTGCCTCTGAATCATTAGGGAATAATTACTCCATGAAGCTTCCTGCGACTAATCATGACATTTTGCCTTTTGCAACCAACGTACGTAAGGGCCTTGTCTGAGAACCATGTTTGATTCGCCTCAAAGGCTTGGCTAGACCGCATTCATTCTCAGCTTTCGATGAGTATTCTCAACATACGAGACACCGCCAAACCACCATGGTGACTTTGGTTCATAGGAAGGAATATCTTACGATTGATGTAATCTCCATTTCCAAGTGGAACCCTCTCATCAAAAGGCACTGGCCCAGTACTGTAAACGACCTGCTGCCGAGACAAACCGACCTTGAATCAACACCAGAGTTTTGCAATGAAGCCGTTCAAATCCACTCAGCTTAGTCTTTGAGAGAGAGTCTTCCTTAAATGCTGAATCCTGGGCCAAGAAAAAAAGTGTCGCCGTCAAGTTGGTGTTCTACAAACCTGGAATGTGTTGCCTGCAACCGCAAACAATTTGGGTTTCTGCACTTTGCAGGTACCCAGAACACGGATGTGACCAACCGTCTAGAAAATGAAGAAAACCCTGCTTTCAAAAATGTCCCGCGGTCAATTTTCCAGGCTGCGGGTTTTCGTCGGGCGGGCTCCGAGCAAAACTTTTCAGCCGGTCCCCACACCACACAGCCTTATAACACCCACACAATCAGGGCGTCACAAGAACAACAGGTCCTCACACCGTAGTCGGATATGGTGTAATGGTTAACATCGGTGACTCTCACTCACCAGCTCGGGGTTCGATTCCCCGTATCCGAGGACGTTTATTTTGCTCTTCCCTCACCCATGTTCTTCCTTTTTGGCGACTGGGCATTGGCTTCACTACCAAATCTCTCTCGGTGTGCTATGAGTAACGTACACTCTTTTGTCTGGCTCCCAATGTCCGAAGGTCTCTAATGGCGTTCCTACGGCCGCGGTTCTGCCCGGACGAGTTGATATGGCTTTGCTACTGGATTATTCACTGCACATGCCCATTAACCTCCTCCCACGTAGCCGAGACGTGGTTGCAGAGCTCGCATTCACCGTCTCCGTGTTGACGACCCAAGCCAGCATACTAGACGGAACATCATACCGTGTTGTACTAATTTCCGCGACCAAGGACATTCATTTTGCTTGAGGATTGCTTGTATCCTTCTGTTTGGAGAAGCACGTCGTCATATATGAATCTAATTATTGAACATAGATTGCGTTTCTGTTTACCGCTGTTCCATTGCAAACGTATTAGATTATGTGCTTAACACTCAGGAAGTAGTTTATTAATATTCTTGATTAAATACCAGCGGATTTCGAATCGAAACTAACATGTTCAAGTGGCTTGCTTCGTGTTCAGCATTAGCATCCCTCAGCCTAAGAACATCATGATATCTTGGGCTTCACTAATCACGCATGCACGTCGAGAGCCGTGACGCTAGCATCCTTCACCAACCCATGGTTCGTCCAAAGGAGTTTGCAGCAACTCTACTGGTCCCGTTACCGACCTACCTAATCGGACTGGTACATGCATACTCATGCACATTACCATGCGAGTGTTGGCCCCTCCAGCCAGCCTCTTGACTTACTGTTCCCATTTCTCCCGTCCATCCACTAGAATCCATCGTGTAGTTCTCCAGCAACCAGCTTCGTTCAACGCCTTTTCACCACCCCTGGATAAAGTCCAAGATGGCGCCAATTGAGAGTCCCGCTCACGATGCGTTTCAACCAGGTCGGCCACCTCAGCCGTTGCCCAAGATTATCTCGACAGAAGACATCATCCCCACGACAAAAAAGGTGCTGAATGAGCTCCGCGCAGTCTGGGACCCTAGTAGCCCAGAATGTCATACCATCGTCTGCGTGCTTTGAGAACGCAGTGCAGCCCCTCATCGATGTCGAAAATCAGACCCAAGGTACTCTTGGTGTCATCGTCATGTTGCGCTATGCCTCTCCGGATCCTGCAGCCCGCGCCGCTTCCGAGGAGACAGTGGGGTTGATTTCCACGTGCTCATCGGAATTCACAGCTCGGGATGACCTCTATCGTATCGCCAAGGCGGTAAAGGATAGGAATGAGGATCTTGGACCCGAGCCTTCCAAATACATGGAGATTCTCCTCACTGATTTCACGAGATGCGGCCATGGCCGGCTTGATGTTGACCAGGTCAAAGAGTACCTGGACAGGAGGAATGAAATTGATAGTCTGCGCCGCGATTTCAAGCGAAATATTCGAGAATGCGACGATGGCATGTGGCTTTCTCCGGAGGAGTTGGACGGGGTGCCACAAGCAGAGATCGATCGTTTCAGTATTGGAAAGGAGGGCCCGGATCAAGGAATGCTCTTCATTCGGACCCAGAGCGCCGACCCGGACACAATTGTGCGGCACGCGACGAGTCCCAGAACTCGCAGGAGAGTATATCTGGCGGAGATGGGTGGTTTGGAGGAAAACGTTGATCTGCTCAGAGACATCATCTTGAAGAGGGATGACAATGCTCGCCTTCTGGGATACTCAAGCCACGCCGCGTTCAGGCTGGAACGGCGGGTGGCCAAAACCGTGGAATGGGTCGACGATTTCCTGAGCGACGTCGAAACGAACTTGCTCGGGCGCGGGGGGGGGGGGCCGAGATGAAGCTGCTAATGGGGAGAAAAGCTGCCTATGTACAAGCTGACCCCAAACATGACGAGCCATATCCAGACTGCATGCCGCCATGGGATTACCCATCCTACAGCCACCTCGTTCAGCAGGAAATGAACATCCGGCATGAACAAATCGCAGAGTACTTCCCACTGAGGAATACTCTGATGTCTATGCTTGATGTGTTCGCCTCATGCCTTCAGCTTAATTTCATTCTTTTGGCGCCTGCGACTCTGGCTGACTCTACTTGGCACGATGACGTTGAAGCTTGGAGTGTCTGGGACTTGCAAGAAAAGACGCGGGGTGAATTCGTTGGCTATCTCTATGCACATGTCCTACAGAGACCTGGGTAACACAAGGGTTCGCAGAATGTAGACCTTCAGTGTGTAAGTGAGCTCATTGCAAACCATTCGGAACGACCCTTAGAGTTGATCTTCTGTCATCTTGAACCAATACCTGAGGAGGCTGACCAAACTATATGATAGGGCTATCTCAAGAAGGATGGTGGACGTGGGTATCCCGCGACGATCCTGATGTGCAACTTTTCCTGTATCTCAGCAGTGGGATGCCCATTGCCAAAGCATCATCAACTCGTCTCTTTGTCTCATGGTAAGGACACATTGATGATAGTCTTCTAAATGTTACTGGTACCAACTCACTGAATCTATCTGTAGAACTTGGTCATGGAATTCATGACTTGTTATCAAGGACTTCTTACATCAAGTTTCATGGCCATCGAGAGCTCCGCCGGACTTCGCGGAGGCACCCAGCATTATGCTTGAGAACTGGTGTTGGATGGAACAGGAACTAAAGCAAATGAGTTGTCATTATAGCACTCTGAGCCCGGAGCACCTGGCCCATTGGCAGAGACAGAACAAGTCCATAGGAGTCCCTCTACCGGTAATTCCTGATGATCTCCTTAGTAGTCTCGTTCAGAGCCGAGGGTTCAACAGGGGATTGTGGTTTCTCCGTCAGCTGTGAGTTTAAGTTTGTTCCTCCTGACCAGATTTGCCTGCAACATTGCTGACCCTTCAAGTGCGATCTCACGATTTGATATGGCGATACACAACCCTCCGAACAGAGAGTTCTTGGCCACTTTAGCCCTGACCAAGTTATGGGCAAGAATTTGGGAGGATCTGACATTCACATCGTGCCCTGATATGCACGACCGGGGCTACCAGTGTGGTCAATTCGGGCACCTTTTCTCTGGCTACGATGCCGGTTACTACTCTTATCTTTGGTATGAAAAGGATGTTCCAAGTACCTTCACCGACAGGACATACCCCAGGCTTTATGCGTGTGTATGCCAAACTCTGGCTTGCTAACAAACAGAACCAACAGTGCACAGGTCTTTGCGGCAGAACTTTTCCAAGCAACGTTCGCCAAGGATCATCGAGACCAAGCCGCCTGGGGGAGGTAGCGGTGCGGTGTCCTCGAGTATGGTGGCAGCAGGGACGAATTGAGGTTGCTGGAGAGTTTTCTTGGCCACGGGCCAACATCGGCGGTACTGTTCCATGGTCTAAAGTCTATGCCGGGCTCTTGATGCTGTCATCTCAAAACGTGAATTGGTCCGTCACGATTTTGTGATTTGTCTAACGAGGCTGGCCCGGATATTAGGCACACAAGGGGTTTGGCAATTAGGTATTCCGATCTGGTAATTGAGTCTGCTACCGCAGTCCATCGGACTCGCTGATGGATTGTGTACCGCTGTCAAACATGCCAATAGCTGTGAGGTCTTTTACGATGCCGGAGCGGTTTGGAACCAAATGGGACGTAAGAAGGTTTTCCAAGCGCCTTCGAAAGTAATTTTGAAATGTAGGCAAAGGCTTCTATAATTGTGTGAAGGAAGCTCACATATCAGAGTCTATCTGGACGGGTGTTCTAGTCGCAACGCAAAATGTTCTCGGAAGGGTGTGGTACAGGATAGAAGCATTTCAAGCTAAAGGTTCACAAGAAAACTTATGGTAACCCGAGATGAGCTTCTTGGGCGCAATTTCCCAAACGGTGCCGTTCTTAAGCAAAAAAGCGTGTAGTACGGGGAAGAAGCTTCAGCTGCCCGAGTCGTGCCTACGAACCAACGAACTCTATCAAATTGCGCGAGAACAGTTATTACCCGCTCGGCACGCGCGCAGCGGATACGCCGGGACCGGACACTGACGATTTGAACATGAAAGCGGTTCGTGGGTTGAACGCCGTGGTCTCACGAGACTGCAATGTATGGGTATAAAATGGAAATGTCTCGGCCACGATCTTCGCTCGGCTGTCTTTCCACAACAACTCCCACATTCTTTACTACTAATTCCTCGGTCTGTCTTTACAATTGTCACTCATTCATCAACGCGTTCATTACTTTTTCAGAAATTATCTATCCTCAACGAAAATGCAGTCTGCTCTGTTGACCACTGTCCTTGCCCTCGCGGCGCCCCTCGTCTCTGCGGCTACACTTCCCAGAGATGCCGTGGAGGTCGAGGTCCGCGACACTACCGTGCCAGGTAAGAGTCGTCTGGATCAAGAAGGTCGGCTGTACAATGACGAGACTAACTCTTCGCAGTCTCTTATGCCACTGCATACCTGGACATCAGCCTCAAGATCGCCGACTTCGGCTGCTATGCCGCCCCGAACGGCAACCTCGTGAAGGATGTAAGCGCTCACCCACCCTCGAGACGACCGGCACTTCGAATCCAGCTAACGTGTTCCTCTATAGTACGAGTACTTCGTCGACGTCCTCGAGGACTACTACAGCATCGTCGCCACTCCCTGGGCTGCCCACGACAAGACTGCTTGCGGCCAGTGCGTGGAGGTCACTTACACCAACGCCGCAGGCGAGAAGCGCAAGGTCTACGGCGTCACGGTAGACTCCACTGCAGGCTACTTCAACTTCGACCAGGCTGGGTTCGCCGGCTTGGACGGCCGCGCGTCATTCGACGCTGGCACACTCCAGGCTACTGCGAAGACGGTTGACCTGCAGAAGTGCCGCCGTGCAAGGCAGTAGATCTTGCATCCTCCTTGGTACGGGTATGGGCAGTAGCTTCTCGGCGGATTGCGCTTCGTAGGAGTGGCAGTCCGCACTTGGAGTTGCATGTATAGCTGGGCAGCCCAAACAACCATCTCAAATACTCTGCCAGCCGCCTATGTTTTTCCCTTGGGGCAGAGGAGAACACTTATATACTATAGTCCTCTGTTAGTAGTAATCTACATAATCACACTGAATCCGATCTCGGAGGGAAAATCTCGAAGCCAGATTCGCATCTGTTTGCCTGATGAATGAAACAGTGTGATTCGGCGCTTGATGTGGTGTTGCTACGATCTGGACCACGAATATTTGTTCTGGAAGTTATCCTACTCTTCTCGAGAATTATTGTCCTCGGCCAGAGGCTTATTGACGGTGTTACGGCCGCGAGCACTGAGGGCATTGACTTCCTGTGGCCTACGCGTGCTCTAGCGAGTTCTGGATCGGCTAAAAGTGGCTAGGCATCATACATGAAATTACAAACGTGAGTGATCTGCAAATACCAGGTCGTTGGCTTCAAGACGCTGCGCAACCAACTGAGAAGAGAAAGTGGTGGGTGTTAATGGTGCATCAGAGCGCTACCAAGTCACCGAACCCTGCCGTGCCCCCTGTCCAGCCCGGCTGCAACCACAGCTGGAGGAGACCTGAGGCTTGGACCCTGGAACACCTGCGAGGGTTGTTCTAGGCCCTGCAAGCATGCTGGCGTGTCGGGCGCCTCTTCACCCAAAAACTTGGGCCGCAGAGGCAGAGCCGCATCTCCGTGGACCTTCCCCGCCATCACCGCCTACTTTCGCACCTCGCCCCTCGCCCCTCGATCTTGCACCTCTTCATGCCAGCCTGGGCAACACCACTCACTTGATCAACCACAACAAGACCCGACGGTGAAGATACTGGCATATAGGACAACGAGTCCGACGACAGGGCCAGGGAGACGCAGCGGCTTGTTTTTGAGGGCTGTTTTGGCAACGTGGAGGTCGTGTCGGACCCGACTGGACACCATCCAGGACTTCAACATCACCCCTCGAGCAGACACCGATAGAGCCGTGCCGCCATGATGGATGACTTCGTGTCCGAGAGTGAGAGCGACTATACTAGCTACTGGCGGGACTGGGTAAGTCAACAGTAGTTCCCACTTACTCCTTCCCGTCGCAGACAAAGTCATGTCGTCTTGTTTTTCTGGCCCCTTTGCGACCTGTCTTTGGGCTGGCCTGGCCGCAAGCACCGCACTGCGCTTCAAGAAAGGCAACCCCCCCCCCCACACACACTCCACGGCTTTGTTGCCGTTTGCTTCCTGCCGTCGCACCCATTCCAACCCTTCTGGAGAACCAAAGCTTTGCTTTTGAAGGGTTGAATTGCCTCGCTTCCACCATGCCGCCCGACAAGAAGGCAAGAACATCTGGGCTAACGCGCTACTACCTCGGCCAGTTCATCTCCTCCCGAGGTAATGAGTACTTCTGCGAGATCGACGAGGAGTATCTCACTGATAGGTTCAACCTCACGGGCCTGAACACCGAAGTCCAATACTATCAGTATGCGCTCGACCTGATCACCGACGTCTTCGACCTCGACTGCGACGATGACATGCGCGAGGCCATCGAGAAGTCTGCGCGCCACCTGTACGGCCTTGTCCACGCCCGATACATTGTCACGACTAGGGGTCTGGCAAAGATGGTACGTCACTTCGCGTCGTGTCACATGGCACTGCACTGCGTATCAAGGCATCGCATGCCATCACAACAAACCACACCGTCGCCCACCACCCCAACTCCTTGTGTATAGCGCAGGTATTCTGACATCGACGGGGGAACTAGCTCGAGAAGTACAAGAAGGCAGACTTCGGCAAATGCCCTCGCGTCCACTGCAACTCGCACCCCCTCCTGCCCGTCGGCCTGACCGACGTCCCCAACCAGAAGCCCGTCAAGCTCTGGTGCGCCCGCTGCGAGGACCTCTACAACCCAAAGTCGAGCCGCCACGCTACCATCGACGGCGCCTACTTCGGCACCTCCTTCGCCCAGATCCTCTTCCAGGTCTACCCCTCGCTGACGCCCACCAAGTCCACCGAACGCCACACGCCCCGGTGCTACGGCTTCAAGGTCCATGCCTCGGCCGCCCTCGAGCGCTGGCAGGATGAGCAGCGCGACACAATGCGCCGCCGCCTCAAGCGCCAGGAGGTCGAGCCCGGCTTCAAGGACGACGGCGACGTCGATGACGATGACGACGAAGAGGACGAGGACGAGGATGAGGAGGTTGAGTTCCAGGAGGGTGGCGCCGGCGCCGGTGCCGCGCAGGCCGAGGCGGGTGCCCAACGCGTGGCAGGCTAGACGCTGCCGCGGACTTCTTACCCTCACTTCTCACGCCCATTAGACGTCGCGATCAGGCCAAAGAGCCCAAAGAGGAAGAGGGGTTGACTTGTCGTCGTATGCTTGCTTTGTGTGTGTGGTGGGAGTGTGTCTTTTCGGCGTTCAGGCGGGCAGGGATATAATGGGTCACGATGGAAATACCTCAGTTGCATCGGCAGGGCGTGCAGTTTATGGTCATGCATTAGGCACTATGGTTTTTGCCTCATTGATAAGGCAAGATAATCCAAGTGATTGACAATCACAGAGGACCAAATCTTGCACACTCGCGGCCTCGCGAAGTATCAGTGACTTCTGCTCTCCTCAGTGTGTATTGATTACTCCACAGCCACAGAGACCAAGGGTTGCGCAGGTCGCCAGGGTAGTAGTCCCAGGGCGGCGCTGGTTCACAGATGGAAGTGACTACGAGATCTGAGTTCAACATGTTCATGCATCAGGCTCTTACTCGACTCTGCCCGACGTCCGTGCATCTAGCGCTGGCTCTGGCCCAACAGCCGTGAGGGAAAGGGCGAATATACATGCTCTTGTAAGACGTCCACGTTGAACGCCATCGGATAGGTAGTCAATGAGCACTGAGACCTAACACCATTGCAAACGCTAGCCTTTCTTGATCACTCGTCGTTGTCAATCAATACTGCTGGGGCTTGCAGTTACAATAAGATTGGTATAAAGTAGCCTAACTCGCTCTTCTTTGTAGGCCACAATTACCTCGTAGAAATTTACGCCGGTCTTCATATTCATGGTGAACGTGGGGATGTGTTTGTCCCCCGGGGCCCAAATGCACCGATGCTATCCAGAGCCTGCCTATGCTATCCAGCCAAGTCCAAGCAGAACGCCGTTCCAATGTAGTTTTCTCCCCCGTGATTCTTCAACGTACTGGAAACAAAGAGGGGGGCACAACAGCGACGCCGTCTATTGCGCGCGCCGCCTCGCCGCCTCCTCACCGTCATCGCCCCCGCGCAGACCGCCGCTCCCCGTGCTGGCCATGGAGCGGTCCTTGTCGCCGACGCCGCCGAGGCCGGCCTCCTCGTCGACAGGGCCGGCCTCCTGGCTGAGGTCCTCCCAGTCCATGGCGTAGCTGAAGCTGCCGACGCCGGCCCAGAAGGCCTTGTCGCTGCAGCGGGGGCCCCACGCCCAGCCGGCGCCCTGCGAGATGGGCAGGTGGTACCAGCGGAAGGCGAAGAAGGCGCAGATGAGGCCGATGAGGAAGCCGAAGAGGATGTCGAAGCCGTGGTGCCGGAAGTCGTACCACCGCGAGCTGGCGATGAAGATGGCCGCGAAGAAGGGCGCCGCCGCGAAGATGAGCAGGTACAGCGGCGGGGCCGCCGCCTGCTGCCGCACCGACGCCAGCCGCTTGTTGTGCCGGGCGAAGAGCTCCGACGTCGCCTGGTCGTGCGCGGGCGCGTGGAGGTGCTCCTGCTCGAGGGAGGCCTGCAGGCGCCGGGCCGCGGGGTGGCGGGACGGGAAGGCGGAGAAGGTGGCCGCCGGGTTGGCCTGGCCCGCGGGCGCGGGCGCGAGGAAGGGGAAGGTGATGGCGAACTTGCTGGCGATGAACAGGCTCAGGTAGGTCAACCCCGCCGCGGCGGAGCTCGAGTGGCCCGAGGGGTAGGACCGGAACCCGTCCTCCAGCAGTTCCTGCGCGTCGGACCTGTCGGTCATGCCGCGGCAGATGCTGGCGGAGACGAGCCGCTGGTAGCCGTCGGCGACTTTCAGGCCGCCCACGATGTACTGCGTATAGTTATCGACGTCCGCAGCGCGACAGCAGGTCCGGGCGCGGCTTGCCGAAGAGGTTCTTCATGCCGTTGGTGATGAACCAGGCCGAAGCCAGGGAGAGGGCGAGCCCCAGCCAGCCGACGTGGAGCTCCCACAGCTTGCGCTTCCAGATCAGGGACTTGGGCGTGCCCTTTGGTACCGTGTTTCCGGGCACGAAGATGAGCGAGACGATCAGGACGACGATTATGGGGATGACGCCCATGCAGGTGACGAGCAGCCATGGTGGGACGGTCTCGTTTTCAGTGAAGGGAAATCTGGACAAGATTAGCACCTCATGATCTGGGAACAAAGGGCAGGTGCCAGCCAGCAGCCGGCCTGTGACGGCCTGCAGTCGTAGCCGGACCTGGAGCTATAGCTTACGAGATGTTTGGGTCCTCGAGGAAGAAAGGCCGCTTGTTGGGTGGGTGATGTCCCATGTAGTAGGAGACGCCCAGGGAGGCGAGGATGATGACCCAGTCGAAGGCATATGAGGAGGCGACGACGATGGCAGACTTGGTAGACCGTTTCCGGGGCCGCAGCTGGGCAGCGATGTGTGTGCGGGCCATGTTGATATCTGGAGGGTTGTACGAAGAGCCTGGGTACGATGTGTCGACCTGGTGGCGCATGCCAGAGTCGTGGTAGGGATCGTGGAGGTGGTCGCGGTCGCGGTCGCGGTCGTCGTGGTCGTCGGGGTCGTGCTCTAGGTCATAGTCCACTCGAGAGTACTGGCGACGGCTTTGTATGGGGATGAGGGGCACCGAGCCGTTGTTCGGCTCACCACTTGACATGTTTGGGCGGAGGGGGACTAAGAGATCAAAGAAGGGAGCTACGAGGTGGTGGTGGTGGCAAACGGGCCGGATGTGTTTAAGAGGACTAGTCGTCACCTGGGCGCAGCATCCCCAGGTCCCCGTACCTGATCAAGTGTCAATACCCGCCCGACGTGAGACGAGAGGGCCTTGCACAGTGGCCCCGAGTCAGCTCCTAAAGGCAGGGTTTCTTGGCCAACTGTCCCGGGGAATGAGCGTGTGAATTGGATAAATGAACGAATAAACGGAGGACTGGCGGAATGGGTGGGAACCGTCGAGCGTGGACGCAGCAATGCCCCTGGAGCTGCGTCTATCGATCGTCGAGCTTACTGTGAGACTCTGGGATGTCGTGGGTGGCTGGCTGGCTGGCTAATTGGATCAAAGGTGTGGGTGAAAGGACTCGTCAGTCGTCTCCCTCCAACTACCGCGAGGACGAAGGAGGAAGTGGATCGCGTGCTTCAACTCCCAAGATTTATAGCGGCTTGGTCTGTCAGGAGTCCAAGGCACACAAGGAAGGGACCGTCCGTACAACGGCGCTCCTTGTTGCAGGGAGGCCCAGGGAAGGGAGCGCGCGTTTGGGGGTTTTGGGGGTTGGTGTGAAGGCGATGGTTCTAAAATGGGACAGACAAGGACCTGATCAGACCAGAACAGCGGCCAGGCAGACTGGCTGAGGGCAGGAGGGTAGAGAGAGAGCCCAAGGGAAAAGGAGACAGGCAGGCACAGCCACTGACCGCGGCATGCGATGGGCGAGACGACGATCCTCTGGGCATTGCTGCGCGGGCTTGGACGTTGGAAATGATCGCCAGAGCAGACCGAGAACATCCCTTCAGCCCTCCTGCTGGAAGGCTTGGCTTGGGCACATGCAGCCAACTGGGAGCGAGCCTGCGCGACACACGGCAGATTGCGATGAGGTAGACCAAGACTCTTGGGGCTCGCGACCTTGGCACCCAGGCGTGGTCCACTCTTGCCTTGCTGGCGATCGAATAGGAACCGCCATTATGCTGCTGCATGTATCAGGACCAACAAGACAAGCCCAAATAGTATCAAATGTCATCCGAGGGGGCCGCTGTTGTGTTGTAACGTAGAACTCAGCCCCTTTCGTAACGCGCAACCCACCCCGGAAAAAAGAACAAGCTATTTCTCGGTGGGAGCCGAGGTCGGTTCATCGGCGCATCCATCCCAATTGCGGGAACAGTCCCAATGCTCCAAATTCAAGCATATAGTTGCCTCCCCGGGACGCCCTTTCAGTCAGTGTCAGGCCGCCATTGGACGGCTCGACGCCGGATCGAATTGCGATCTTGATAAATCTCCGTGTCAGGCAGGGATGTGGGGTTGATGTGACAGCTCTGAGCGGGCAAGATGGGCATGGATGGCCCGACGTCGCATCGGCACATCAACTCCAACTTGACAGTCCAAGTATAGATATTACGCGGTATCGAGTCTACCGTTTCGGCATCGCCATGCATTGATCTTCGTGTCAAACTCTATTTTCTTGGGCCCTGCGCATATATTCAGCATATGCCATACCATACCATAGCAGCAGCCTTTTGATAGAAATCAAGCTTCCAGCGGTCATGGCCGAGGTCAAGAAATACCACCTGCCCCCGACCTCCAAGATCCCCAACTCGCCCTTCCCACTGCTGCACTACCCCGGCTTCTTCCCCTCGCCGGCGTCGCGCGCCCCGGCAGCCGTGCACGACGCCTTCGCCGCCAACGGCTGGCAGGTCCAGTGGATCTTCAGGTATGGACCGACCCAGCAGTCGCACTATCACTCGGCCGCGCACGAGTGCATGGCCGTCCTCAGCGGCGAGGCCACCATCCGCTTCGGCGTCGCTGACGACGAGGCCGGCGGCGGGAATGGTGCCGACGGCGATGGCAGCAGCGACAACACCAGCAGCAAGGGGATAGAGGTCCACGCGCGCGCCGGCGACGTCTTCGTCCTGCCCGCCGGGCTGGCGCACAAGACCTTCCACCCGGACCCCAGCGACAGCACGTTCAAGCTCCTGACGCCGGGAGACGGCCACCATGTCCCCGGGGCCGGTGATGGGGTCGCTGGCCCTGGCCTTGCAGGCGTCGAGCTGTCCGGATTCACCATGATCGGCGCGTATCCCGTGGGTGCTGAGTGGGACTTCGCCGTTGGGGGCGAGCACGAGGGTCGGTATCAAGAGGTATGGTCGGTGCCGAGGCCCGAGCGAGATCCTGTCCTCGGGACAGATCCGGCTGGGTTGACGGGGCTTTGGGGCTGATTGATGTTTGGTGCGGAAATGGCTGACATCGTAATGGTTGCTGCCTCGGATCTATGGTGTGGTGAGTTTGAGTGTGGGGTGAGCCGGCGCTGTCTACTATCTGTGGTAAGTCAGGTGTGCCACGAGTAGACCACCCTCCCTTGGGGGATGGAAGCAGGCGGCTCGAGGCACGATTCGAGACGCCTCAGCCCAGCCCGTCTTTCGGAAGAGAAACCCGTCACGAGATCCTCGAACACGGCCATCGCAGGCACTTGAAGAGTGACGTTGTACAAAAAGTCTTACATATATAGCTCGAATATGTACAGACAAGACTCCTGACCACACTCAAGAGCCGCCCTTCCTGTCTCTCCTCTTGCCCATGTTGCGTACGCGAGGCGTAACGATAAACCTGTTGATGTTGTGCTTTCTGCGCGTCTTGTAACCGCCCTTGGCCGGTGTGCCCCAAGGACTCACCGGGTGCCGGTTTCCCTTGGACTTTCCACGACCACCACCGTGCGGGTGATCGACTGGCGGGGAGTATTAGTCTGCGGACTGCCAATGCGATGTACTTGAGGTTGGGAAATAGTGACTTACCAGTATTCATGGCCGTTCCTCTCACTGTTGGCCTGATGCCCAGCCATCGACTCCTTCCAGCCTTTCCAAGCGACGTGTAGTTGTAGTGGACGTTGCTCGCAACACCGATCGTCGCAATGGCGTCCTTGTCCACTTTACGGACCTCACCACTCTGCAGCCTCACGCTGACGTGCTTTCCAACCACGATCTTGGTACCGTCGTCTCTTGTCTCCTCCTCCTTGGATGCAATGACGCCGTAGGTGCCTGCGCTCCGGCAGAACCGCGCCGGGCCGTCTCTCCTCGAACCGATGCAGTAGATCATAGTGCCCACCGGGATCATGTGCATGGGTAGGCAGTTCCCGCGGTGGGCTGTCTTGGAGGCCAAGATACCGGGATCGATAATACCACCCATGCTGTCGAGCAGGTCCTTGGGGATTCCAGCTCGGTAGCTGTGGACGACGTCACCGGCCCTCATGCCGTCAGCTGCGATAATATAGCTCTTCTTGCCATCCGCCTTGCCCGAGATCAGGGCAATGTGCGCGGTACGGTTGGGGTCGTACTCGATGCGCTCCACAAGGTGCGCGCCGGGGGCCCTCCTGTCAAAGTCGACCGTCCGGATACGCCTCTTATGTCCGCCACCGCGATGTCGCACAGTGACCCTGCCCGTGTTGTTTCTGCCACCTCTTGCTTGGCCCTTCTTAGGGAAGGTCAGCGCCCTGTGGGGCCGCCCTTTCCATAGGTGGTCGTTGATGGGCCGCTTAAGATGCCGCACACCTGGGGTCCGGGGCTTGTAGGTTCGCAGGATGACGAGTTGTTCCTCGTCCCTTTTCAGGGAGGGTTGGATGGACTCCTCGGCCCGCAGGACAGGCGCGGTCGATAGATCCCGGCTGGGCGCCTTGCTGGCATATGCTCGTGCGAAGTTGGAGGAGGTTAGCAGTGACCTGATGGACGAGGCCAGTGGCCAGAACCGTGGCTGAAGCATCGTTCGGGGCGTGCGCGAGTGAGATGCTCGGTATCGAGCTCCTGGACGTCCTATGTGGTGGGCTCAATTAGGCCCGGCAGCCATCAATGCAGGAACAGGCCTGTGCCTTTGGATCGAGTACGTGGGTGGACCACCGAAGGCGAGTGGGATCGACTCGGCTCGTCTGAGGTCACCTGGGGTTATCGTTGAGCAGCCGGACTGATGGGCCTTCAGGTGGCTTGGTGGTGGTGTCGAGCTCGAAAATTCGAAAGTTCGCCGATGCCGATGCAGGGGTGCAGTAATGACTAAGCAGCCGACCGCCGTACATACGGTTGGAGTTCTGTGTCATGCACCATGGCAGTTCTCACGATTGAATTGGACGCATTCCACAAATATCCTACAATCAATTGGGTCCCATTAAGACGAAGAGTTTGTATATCTCCGTGTCTGACCGGTTGACACTCGCTTGCTCGTTCCCTCATGGTTTTGTAGGCGGGTGATACTTCGTGCAAGTGCCATGCTCTAGGTCCGGTGCTAACCCACGTTTCGGACACGGCCCATCAGCGACGTGTGAGACTGGAGAGTGCCAATGAAGAGCCAGGATTTAAATCAAATCACTGAGTCACAGAATCAAGAGTTAAAGACTCCTAGGTAGAGCCCGGCTGGTGTCATGGAGATGCATGCATCTGGTGCAATGGGAGCTACTCAAGCTCCAGAGCTTGGGGTTGAGCAGCAACGGTGCTGCCGGCCAATAACGGCGCGATTGATTGACCGTTGCTGTGGTTTCGGCAGTGAACGGACCATCCAAATATAAACAAAGCTGAGTGTTCCGTCGCGTCGACTCCGGCACGACCCCACAGTTCGAGCTACCCATACAACATCCACCAACCCACCCAACCCGGTCAGCTTCAGCCTTCACAAACTCCCAAGGTTGTCTCGACTTGGACTTTACCTCTACACACTCTCCTTGCACACTTCACTTCTTCATCAACAAATACATGTACCGTCAGCGACCTGAGTTGGAGCAGCAAGGAGGCCCTGTGACTTCTGGTAAGTGGATATCAGTTTTCTTGCGTCTTTCTCATGGCTCGCCCGTCGCGCAATCTCATTGTCATACCTGGACTTCAGAGTGCTTGATGGGAGACTGGACGCGTGCCATCAGTGCAAGCAGTCTGTTCTGAGTACCACAGCACAGTGCAGTCAGTACCTGGTTTGGGTGGGCTAGCAGCCGGCTCTCCCAAGTCGCGGTCTGTTGCGTTGCAGGTGCTGCAGGTGCAGGTGCAGGGGTCCACGTCCACGTCCGCCTCACGCTCACGCTCACGCTCCGTCCGCAACACGCTCCTTCCCACACCTGGCACCGTGCAAGTGTGCGGCAGCTCTGCAATTGCAATTGCGCACTTGCACCTCACCTGCACCCGGGGGGCTCCACTCCCACTCTCTGCTACCCGTCGACCTCAAAAACAAGGTCTGTCCGCTCCGCCTGCACTGCACATAAACACACCTCCGTCCAGTCTGCCCGTCCGCCCACGACCCATCGTCCATCCCCATCATCATCTCCGTCAGTCTTGATCTTCCTAGGAGCAGGTCATTCCTTAGCCATCCCACCTCTGCAACACTAGACGACAACAACAGCTACATCACCCTCAGGCAGCAGACAGACAGGCAGCACACATCCACAGCTCTGCCAATCCACAGTCATCAGCCTTTCCACACAACCACGCGCTGTTCTGTCCTCGGGCATCCATACCCATCGAGACCCATCTCATCCGGCTGGCCGCTCTGTTGATTGACATTGTTCCACGCGTCTAGAGACAATTAGCATCTCTGCATTTTGTTGCCGAGTATTCAATGTCAGTCTTCAGTGCACCTGTCCCCATTGCAATATTTTTCACCAGACGCGACGGGATGCCAGGTGCTCCACACCTATGTGCACCTCCCTATCCACCACCGTCTCCCCCAGCTGTCCGCAATCACATACCACACGCATCAGCTCTGCTCAGACCTCCTGCTGCAATGCATGACTCGTTTGTTTACTGACCGTCTTCTGCAGCAGCCCCTTAGTGTTTGGGTATCTTAATACACGTCAATCGACAACATGCCTCCCGCAGGTGTAAGATACCACCCACACACTGGCTTGATGACGCGATATCTCGAGCATTCCGTGTCGTCTCATGCATTCTGACCTTGCTCGTAGGGACGTACTACGCGCGCCCGCGTCATCGCCAGCGAGAATGACGAGAACAGCATGACCGGCAGCTCGACCCGCTTAACGCGTGCTAAGGCTGCAGCCCTCAATGTCGACGAGTTGTCCCAGCCTTCCAAGCCCCTGCAGTCCAAAAAGGCAGCCGTCAACACCAATGTCGCGGGCGCTACCAGAAAGCGTGCCGCCCTTGGTGATGTTTCCAACGTCACCAAGGTCGAGGTTACCGAGGGAAAGAAGGTCACCGCCACCAAGGCCGGCGTTGTTTCAAAGACCACACAAGCGAACCGAGTCCAAAAGAGCACATCAGCTGCGACAACACGCGCCCGTGCACCACTTGCATCCAAGGAAGCCAATGCAACAAAGAAGTCCACCAAGGCATCAGGCCCCGGCGAGATCGGCTCCAAGAGGAAGGCCCCTCCCGCAGCGGCTCCGACCTTGAAGAAGGAGAAGACACCCGTCGAGGAGGGCGAGCCCGTTCGGAAGAAGGTCCACACCGCGGAGAAGGAGAACCGACGCTCCAAGGAGGTAGCCGAGGTTGCTGAGCCAGTCATCAAGCCCGCCTCCCCCCAGGAGGGATTCGTCTACCCTGAAGGCGTCTTGGACCTTGACCAGGAAGACCACGATGACCCCCTGATGGTTGCCGAGTATGCGCACGAGATCTTTGACTACCTTCTCACACTCGAGCCTAGCTCTCTCCCCAACCCCGACTACATGGACCACCAGGATGAGCTTGAGTGGAAGACACGGAGCATCCTTGTCGACTGGCTCATCGAGGTCCACACTCGGTTCCACCTCCTGCCTGAGACCCTGTTCTTGGCCATCAACATCATTGATCGCTTCCTCTCCGAGAAGGTGGTTCAACTCGACCGCGTCCAGCTGGTGGGCATCACGGCGATGTTTATCGCGTCCAAGTACGAAGAGGTCTTGTCGCCCCATGTCGGTAACTTCAAGCACGTTGCAGACAACGGATTCTCCGAGTCTGAGATCCTGTCTGCCGAACGCTTCATCCTCCAGACTCTCGAGTATGATCTCAGCTACCCCAACCCCATGAACTTCCTGCGCCGGATCTCCAAGGCCGATAACTACGACATTCAAACCCGGACTGTCGCCAAGTACCTGCTGGAGATCAGTGTCGTCGACCGCCGTTTCATGGCATACCGCCCGTCTCATGTCGCTGCCACCGCTATGTACCTGGCACGCCTGATCCTCGACAGAGGTGACTGGGACGCGACGCTGGCATTCTATGCTGGTTACACTGAGGAGGAGATCGAGCCCGTCCTCCAGCTTATGGTTGACTACCTGGCCCGGCCTGTTGGCCATGAGGCCTTCTTCAAGAAGTATGCCAGCAAGAAGTTCCTGAAGGCGTCCATCCTGACACGTCAGTGGGCCAAGAAGAACGCGGCTGCGTTTGACATCGACAACCTGGATATACCCCTCGATGAGTAAGGGGCTGTTGTGTGCTTGGCTGTCATCCAATACAACTACTCGGTCGTGTGATGACATAGCCTCAAGCCTCTGATTACGATAGCCCTCAACGCTCAGCATGTGGACAACTACTCAAGTTTACGACACTGCATGAATTCATAGGCCAAAGACGAAGCTTTATGTCAACATCGCACTCTTCAGCGCCAATCTGTATTCATTGCGCGCCAAGCGGAGTGGTCATGATTATACCTTTCACGGATTTCGCTACTCGGTCATTGCGGCGGCGTACGGGTGTTTTTGGTCTGCTCAGGGATGCTGGAAGGGGTGTTCACGGCATGAGAGTACCCAACTGGTCTTGGTTTCTGTTCCATTTTTATCGGAAGATGTCTCTTCCGCCATCAACCCTCAAGTTGCTATTGCTGCCTGGCACTGCTTGGTCCTCAACAACGCAGGCACTCTTACCAATTGCTCTCTGGCTTGGCTCAACATCAAGAGTCATCTTAATGGTTGGATGATCAGCACGATACGGCAGCATTTTGAGGGGATTTTGGTTCTTTTCCATAGTGGCAGTGGCCAGGAGGGAGGAAAATGACGAGGGAGATGATGCATTGGCACTGTACATACTATCAATGTGGTGTTGGACTACCAGCTTGTGTTTTTACGGTAGACGGGAATCAAAAGGGTATCATTGTTATGAAATCCGATGTTCTGCAACAGGCTGCGCATTGTGTTTTGTCAAGCATGCCAACTGCCTGGTGACAACACCCGAAGTGCGCATCACCGATCTACCGTCTGTTCCCTTTGCTGCTGTGCAGGACGCGCATAGTCCCCTTCGTGGTGATCATCGTCGCCCTCACCATTCTGCTGTTGCCCGGGCGCGTCATCGGTCCATGTCACCGCGTGCTGCTGTGTCGCCATCGCCAGTGTTACCTCTCTCAGCCCTCGCCCCTGTGGTATCGTCCGCCCCGTATATGTCATCCTCCGTGTCACACTCCACGGGTCCCGTCTGCGGTTGCCCCTGCCGTCCCCGTTGCTGCATCTCAGGCTGCCCAGCCGCATCCCCAGGGTCTGCCCCTCGTCCATCCCCGCCGCCGCCCTCCCGGAACCACCGGATCAACCGTCCCCCTCGGCCTCGGCGCCGTCCCGCACGCCTGGTCCAGCGCCCCGGGCACGCCGGACCTGCCCCACTGGCCCTGGTGCTCGGCCAGGCCGCGCTCCCTGGCGAGGGCCCAGGCCTCGGTGGCCTTCTTGATGTCGTTGCGGTCCCTGGCCATGCGGCTGAAGGAGGACATGGTGGACGGGCCGCGGTTGGTGCCGCCTGTGATCCAGTGGGCTAGGCGGGCCTTCTTGGAGAGGGCTGAGGAGGGGCTGTCTGGGTCGTTTGTGTTGTTGGACATTTTGGTGGCGGATGGCTGTGGCCTTTCTCCTCCTTTGGCCGTATGGGAATGCTTGTGTCTGTGGTGATACTACCTCCTGGGTAAGGGCTCAGGGCTTGTGGAGTGGCGGATTCTTTTTGCTGCTTCGTACTCTGAGAAATAGCATCACAGATCCAACTTGATATTTTTGTTTGTCAAATCAATCGTACAGAAGTCGTCTATCATCCTGCAGAGGTAGAAGGGGTAGATCTCATAAGCTTGAGACGAAGTCATGTGTGAGAGGCATGTTCATCTCGGTCACTCGAGTACGACGCAAGTCACTCCCCGAGCGTTGGCCTCTGATTTATGCCGTATCATCTTATCCTTGTGTATCAGATAGCAAGTGATGTTCTCCAATTGAGTAGGTGTTCAGTTCCAAGGCATGCCACACAAGATGAGGTGCTGTCGGCCATCCTCAGACATATACGTACTCCCGGCCTTGATCACTGTTCGAAAGTCACCAGTCACTCATTCAGGGGCAGCTGAAACACGTGAGTCACATCAACCAGTGTTATAACTCACAAGAAACATATCCTGAGAATCATGTATATGTAAAAAGATTGTTGATAATATGGCTGGTTTCCGGAGCACAACAATTGATAACACTGGAGGACGAACTAGCGTTCCCTCGGGGAAGAGGGACACCAGAGCCGTGGACAACATCTCATGGCCCAACACGGAGCTGGCACAAGGGAATATGTCACACGTATGTGGATCATGTACATGCAATGCATTGTTTGAGACCTGCGAGGTTCCTCCAGTAATACCGCAAGATCGAGTAGTGGGAAAGAGAAGGGCCTAGAGCACTGGCGTCGTACTCGTTGAAGATGGCTCGAGGCAGTCGACGCTCGCATTCTTCCCGCGGCGGCCAGCAGACCGAGGTTGGGAGCCCCATGTCAAGGCTTTTGTATCGTCCATCATCAGGCATCTTCTCATGGTGGGTTGTACAACAGGCGGGCTCACTCTGTTGCTTCAGGGAGTCAGCTGTGGCTGTAGGGTTGGGTATACAGTACAGGCACAGGACGTGTACCTTGGTCACGTACCTGCCCTGTTACACATGGGCTGTGGCTCCCTTACCAGGTCGAGAGATGAGACCTCCCTACACTTTGGAATAGACCCGCCTCTTGATCTTGGGTTTCGGAAGACGCCTAAGAGGCTTCAGAGTCACTCGCGGTTGCGACAAGGCCCAGCCGCCCACCATCCCACCCGCTTCGTCAACATGTTTGGGCACCGATGAAGGGAAGGCGCGGGCCACCCAGGGTTGCCTTCCTCTGGCGCCAGCTAGTCTCTTCCTGCTCCTGCTCCTGTTCCTGTTCCTGTTCCCGTGCGAACACAGCATGCTTTCAACATGATCTCGGATTGCAACCGCACTAGCGCCCAGAACCATCGCTGCCCAATTGCATGCGGCATTTTGGATTCCGCCCTGGGTGCCGACGTTCGACATCGACCTGGAACCGCAGGGCAGATCGGACCGCGATAGAGTGGGCTCGGGCTTTGGTGAGATTGCTTCTGTGAAACCGACTCCCAAGCAGTGAGCGGTCTCGCGATGGTTGCCGTGCCTACCAGGTTGCACCTCGGAGGGCCCATCTGCGCGACAGGCTAATCGTGGGCATCGATCGTCCGCCTGGCGGCCCAAAATGCCCAAAGGACGTCTTCCCAAGTTCAGCAAGCTCGATGCACTATCACCCTATCGGCCAGGCTCAGCCTTGCTTTTGAGTCCCAAGGGCATGGCTCCCCAGCCCGCTCTGCAAAGACGCACAAAACCTTGATGATGGATGGGACGACCTATTATGCCTTCGGAAGCCATCGTGGAAACAAAGGGAAAACATGGTTGACACTTGATCCCACTGGAAACGGGCTGGGGTCTCGGCAACAGCCCTGGCTGTTGGTGATGCCGTCATGCTATAACACAACATGCAAAGACCACGAGTTGCTCGGCTGTCAAGTTTGATGCCAGGGAAACACCTGCCTGCAGGGGGCTGCTCGGCTGCAGCCACTCATGGTCGGTTCCAGACCACCACGCCGGGCCCTGCCAGGCTCGCCAGCCCACCGAGAACTTGAGGAAGACCCTGGAATAGCTTCCCTGCTTCCCTGCTTTTCTGGGCCGCCGTCCGGGTCTGCACGCCAACGTCATCGCCTGATTCCAGGCCCGGCCCATTGCCCAACCACACCCGCAGCCCACGGGACGACGCTCCCGGCGGCCCTCTGCCTCTGCCCACATGTCGAGGTGGTGGGGAGCAGGGGTCGTCGGAGCCTGTGCTGGAATATGGAAGCAGATGCGACCTTCTGGGGTCCCAACAACACGGATGGGGACGCCTTCGAATGCTTCTTTGCTTCGGTGATGGGCCACGATTCCCTGTCGGAAATGGGCAGACCTGCCGAACCTTGGAAGAAGCCTTGAGGGGAAAGGGCTTAGCTTGGCGCCCCCGGGGTGGCAGATGTCACTGTTGTCGCTCCGAGGCGCAGGTTTGGGCAAGTGATCAAGGTCCCAGATGGGCTGTGTCATTTTTACGAGGGCGGTCCCTCCGACTTCTAGGCACACTCACCCATGTGCTGTCCGCAGGCGGTGATGTCGACCCGCGTGGACTGCGCTATACACCATAACACAGCATGAAGTTCATATGACTCTTTCGCGCCGGATATATACCCAACCTTGACCACTTGACTTCCAGGCCGAACCCTTGCGTCTTGTTTTTACATCTTCCTAGTTTCAAACCTTTCAGCCCATCCTCACCCGCCGCCCAGAGACAGCCCATTCTCTCGGCCCGCCATCCATCATCGTCTTGCCCCCACCCAACCTCTCTCACCACATCTGCGGCCGCCTCACATCTTGCGATTCTCCCGCGCCCCCCAAGATTCCTTCAGAACCCGGATCCATCGCATCGTATCGCATCGCTCTTGTCTAGCCGAGACTCGTCGCCAGACCCAAATAAGCTTTCTTACTGGATCCCCGAGAATCCACCGTAAAAATAGCAGCTTGTTTCACGGCTGCAGACGGTACCCGCAAATCGAGGCTGCATTGATTCGCGAATATACCACATACGTTCGCTTGCGCACCCCTGGCTTAGACGAGAATACTGTATTCAGCCGCGCCGCATAGCCTCTCGACAACGTTGGGTGTTCTTATAATCACAAGCGGCTGCAGTTTCCTGGGCTACATCTCATCAGTCAGTGCGCCCGATTTTTCTCATCTCTCCTGCTCTTCTACCTGTGTACATATCTCCACCTCTCTGTCTGCACACATACGTACATGCAGCCATGTACTTCTACACACCAGTCTTGGGTATTGACCTCTTCCGGCAATGCACACTTACACGTCTTCTCCTTGACTTCGCTACGACACATCGTCCCTTGGAAGAATATCGTTGCTAACTGACCTTCACATTTAGTGCCTGTGAAGGAGAAGAGGTACAAGAAGAAGGTGGTCTACCTTGAACCACCCACCCCCGGCAGCGTCACACTTCGTAGGAAGATCACAACAGTCGTACCCGCACCTGCCCCACCAACTCCGCCTCCAGTCATCGTCGAGCCGCCGCCGCCACCACCTGTGCTCGCTCTCCCCCCGCCTCCGCCTCCGCCGCCACCAGTTTTTGAGCGGCCGCCGCCGCCAGTCTTCCTGCCGCCCCCGCCGGCTCCCCCATCCCGGGACGAGATAGACGTGATCGCCGTGGACGTCGAGCCCTCCGAGAAGTCCAAGTCATCCAGGAGGTCCTCGTCCTCGTCCTCCAGCTCGTCCTCCAAGTCGTCCAAGAAGACGAGCCGGAGCCAGAGCCGCAGCCGCTATGACGAGCGGGAGAGGGAGCTGATCATCGAGAGGGACAGGTTCGTGCCCGTCCCCAGGAGGCGGGATTACGAGACGTACCGATACGTTGAGGGCCCGCCGCAGAGGAGGTACCTCCCTGCGCCTCCCTCGCCGCCAAAGAGGCTCGAGGAGGATAGGGAGAGGATCACTATCAACATCGAGGACCGGAGGAGGGCTAGAGAGTACCATTACCGTTGATTGAGTGACGGTCTGTGCTGTCAAGTATTGGGAGGGCTAGGCTACCTGCCTATTCTACCCGGCACATCTAGCTCTGGGATGGACTCCTTCTCGGCACCAGAACGACAGCAACCCGTGGGCCCAAACTTTTTCTCATTCGTGGGGCTTCGATATCTCTTTTCTTGAAATCCTCAAGTTGACCTTCTGAGTGTGGTATATGGGATTCTTTTGACGAATTTCTCATCTGGACACAGTTCAGTGAGGTATCTATCAACTTTGGGAGGAATGGAATGCAGCACGGTGTTTGGAATTTCTGATCAATTTGGACTTTTTATAACCTCGATGATATCCTGTCCTGTTTATAGCTCTTTTTGGAGGCTCTCCAACACAATTTTTATGTATGCTGATGCTTTTGGTTCTCGGAAATATGTGGCCGCCATCCACCGTGATAGCTGACAAAGTGGCTCTTGCTACTGCTTCATTCACGCTGCCATCAGTGGCTCAGTCACGCCCTAGTCTCTGTGTATCTGATGTAATGGTCTTCCACACTGTGGGCGCAGCTCCCACCGGTCCTTGGGTGAGCCGTCAGCTCTGTCAACAATCGGTTCTTAGTGGTCACTTCCAGGAAGCCGTGCTGCTGTCCCGACTAGTCTTTCGCCAACAGCTTCTTCAAGTTTTCCTCATTGTCGTACTTGGATAGTAGCCGTGCCTTCAAGTCCTCAATCTCCTGCCCCTGGCTCGCATAGACACCATCCAACATAGCCTTGGCCGGCCCGAGGAGATGAGCATCGGCCAAGCCCACTGCACCAAACCCACATTAGCAAGACTCCATCTTTATGCACCAGAAGAGAGAGCATGGCGATTAGAAAAGGGGGGGTCACCCACTGATCACGGCCGTCAGCACCACACTATCGCCCATCGAATCCAGCTCGCCATCCTCGGCAAGCCCGTTCTGGATCATCAGCAGCCTCTCGAAGCCGGCGTCCCCCGGCGAGACCACCACCCGCAGCACCGTGTCCGTCTCGCCCACGAGGTACTTGTGGTACGCCCCGGGCGGGACTGTCGGCGCCTCCTGCCCGGGCCTGAGCGTCTGGGCGGACCGCTCCAGGAGGTCCAGGTCGGCGCCCTCGTCCCCTGCCGCGGTCGGCGCCTGCGCCGACGAGTAGACCGTGATGGAGCCCTCGAGCAGGTCGAAGGTCTCGGAGAAGCCTGGGGGGTTTTTTTTTTTTTTTTTTTCTGTTAGTGAGGTGCTACGGAGGCCCGAAGTGATGCTCCATCCTGGATGATGGGGATGACGGGGGAATTGTAGGAAGAGAAAGAATTGTACTGACGGGTGTGGTAGTGCGGCGGGACGGTTGTGCCGGGCGTCATGTACTCGATGAAGACGGTGCGCGCGCCGCCGTTCTGCGTGAGCGACTCTTCCAGGTGGAAGCGCCTCTGGTTCCATCGTCGTTCGGCAGACATCTTGGGGGTTCTTTTTTTTCTTTCTTTTCTTTGAGTGGCAAGGCTATAGATATGTGATAGAAGTGGAGGGGTTTGGTACGCACAAGGACGAGTGTCGATGTTGGCCCGCGTAGCCTACCCGTCCCCTCTTTATACTTGACGACTCTCTCGCATCGGATTTAGGCTCTGCTGGGTGACATGGTGAGAGACGACGCCCCGTGGCCTGCCCGCATGTGATATTTCGTACATCTAAGAAAACCACGAGTGAGATTTTAGCAGTCTGGCCCGCGCGGTCAACCCATGTTTCTGTGAGGCAATCCCTCATTCAAGGGCGCTGTACCACTTTAGGAAAACAATCTCTATCCACGCCACACCAACAGTCCGACGCGCCTCAGCGGGCCTGCGGCGCATTCCTGCCACAATCGGCGTGGAGATGGACCCAAGTACAGTACAGCTTTGCAGGGGTCACGATGCCTTGTGGAGGTGTCCTTGGAGACCAACAAGCACCGACATACGTGTGGAGATGGATGTGGATGCTGACAGTACACTCGCTGTCTTCCACGTTTACTTCCCGGGACGTCCACGCAAATGTTCAAATGCTAGGACAACAGGGTGATTGCCCACACACCAAATCTCCTGGTGTACTATTTGTTTCCTCTCCCACGTCACATTCCCCTGCTTGCACTGTGTAGACCATACCTGGACAAATCTATCCTCGGTTGATAATGCGTAAACCAGGTGAAGTGTGCTGTCCCAGGCTGAACACTACGCCCACAAGAGGGTCCTGAAGCGCGGGCACCATGAGCAGGATCCTGGATCGGTCCAGATAGGCAGACAGGCCGTATTTCCGGCTTTTCTCTCCTTCCTTGCCGTCCAGGCCATATATATCCATAAGTTTTCTGAGTTGCAAACGTGGCTGAGGCGCAAAAGTGGTCTGCATTTTTATCATCTAGTCTAACCTCAAGCCGAGCTCCAGTGTCTCCTGGTCGAAGGCGGAGCTTAACCCACGACAGATAGCCCGTCCCCTCAATTCGTCACTTCTGAGGCGCCTTCTTGCGCCTCCTCCCTAGGAGCAGGCTTGTTTTGCGGTTCCGGCATGTACCTCGCGACCACCGTGAATCCCAGCGCGATGACCAGCATCAGGACCCAAATGGCGTAGCCATGTAACCACTGCGTCCTGGCCCCCAGAGCGAAGAGACTCGCGAACGCAGCCGGCGCGAAGGCCCGCAGGATCGAGGTCCCCGTCAGCGCGAGCGCGTTGAGCGTGCCTAGGACCGCGGGGCTCGGGGAAATATCGTTCAGGGCCAGCTGGATCGCCGTGAAGCTCATGCTAATCCCGCTGCCAAGCGCGAGGACGGGCGGGGCCGATATCCAGAATGCCAGGTCGTGGCCGCCCCTCAGAAGGGCGTTTCCGAGGGGGCAGATGGCGAAGAAGAAGGGGTACACTGCCGCGCAGCTGCGGAGGACCTTGTTGGTGCCCCAGCGGTGCTGAAGAGGCGGGAAGACCAGGAGGAGCCACAAAGCCTGCGAAATGCCGTTAACGGCCAACATGAGTGATATCTGGAGCGGGCTGAAACCGAATCCACCCAGCCTGACCGGTGTAAACCAGAAGACCGGTAAGATAGCTGTATATGCAAGGGCCAGAAGCATAATATGGCCGTAGACATACAGGACCATGCCGACACCTGGGGTTTTGACGATGTCCAGGATTCCTTGGCCTTCTTTCCTTGGCTTGACGGTCCCATCCTCCGAGCCAGGTTCCTTCTTGAGCGTCTCCTCGATGAAGAAAGCGCTCGTGAATACGGAAATGAGGCCGAGAAGCCCAACAACCAGGCTGGAAAGCACGTAGGGATAGTCGAGTAGGAATTTGACATGCCCAAATACTCCAGGGTACTGGTGGGCCGGGTCTGCCAGCACGCCGCCCAGGAGAGGCCCAAAGAAGATGCCCAGGTTCCCCGAGAAGGCGAACCAGCTGAAGATGACGGCCTGGGTGTGAGAGTTGCTATGCTCGGCCAGCATCGTGCGCATGGTCACGATGGTGCCCCCAAAGACACCAGCCGCACACCTGAACAGGATCATCTCCCATATCGTCTTGGAGAAGCCAAATAGGGAGGTTGCGATTGTGACACCGACAAGGCTGAAGACGAGCACGGGCTTTCGCCCAAGCCTATCTGAGGCTCTGCCCCAGGAAATCATGAAGACCGCCTGGGTGAGCGAGAACATGGACTCTATGGCCCCGCTGTAGAAACCCGGGTCGGCGTCGTCGAGATTGCCATTCTCCTGGGCCATCCGGTTGATGTACGGGAAAACGGAGAAGAAGGCCATCGGCTCGACCAGGCGGGCGAAGCATATCCAGAAGATCTGCCATTTTGGGAAAGGCTTGCCATCGTCCTCCTCCGGCTCGCCAACAGCGTTCTCTGGGAAGGTGCCTGCGCCAGAACCCTGCAGGGTGGTTGCTTCGGATACTGTTGGGTCCGCCGTTGGAGCGATATCACCGGTCGCGAGAAGCGGCGTCTGCTCTGTGGCTACAGTTCCGGAGCTATGGCTCGTTGAGCCATTCGAATGCCCGTTCTGGGCCATATCTCTGGGGACGTTGGCTAAGAATGTATTGAAACGGGGGTGTAAATGCGTGAAGATTGCCACATGTATCTATCCAAGGCACAGAAGAGAGTAGTTGATAGGCCTAGTTGAAAAAAAGCGTGAGACGGTCAATCCATCGTCACAAATCAAGCTGGAAATGCCGCGCGTCCTTCTTATCCATCCACAGGGTAGCCCGAGGGGAGAGGGGATGAGAGGGGGAGAGATGTTGAAGTGCATTGGAGGAGCGAAAGAAATTGATGTAAGTAAGCACTTGTCTTCGCAGCAGGGTGTTGATGACGGGGGGAATTATGGGCCCCTCGTGGTGAGATCCAGGCACCGGCTTGCGCTGCCTTCCTCTTCCGGCCAAGCTCGACTTCGCATTGGCTGCACGCGTGCAGAAAGCCCCTAGGCACCCCGATTTACAGGGCCTGCGCGCTGCGTGGACTGAGACGGAACAAAACACCGTCGATAACGTAGACTCGAAACGGCCCAATTGGAACTGCACCGGCCGTGCGCCGGTCCATACAGCAGACTGCACAACCACACAACCCGGCAGTGTGCCTTCCACTCGCCGGCTTCAAAACACACATGGAAGAGCACGTCGGATCCATCTTGAGTGTGCAAATCCCAAAGATCACCATGGTGGCACAACCATTGAGTGGCACCACCTCCTTGGCTGGCCTGTGTTGCTGTTCAAGGCCGACTCATTCAAGTCTATATCTAAATCCGCCCTTGACCACTTGATCAAAAGTCACGGACTGAAACTGGTGCCTAGAGACAGTCATTGTTGCCTGTCTTTTACACCAACCAGTTCTCCACCAGCCGGTGCCAGCTATTACAGGAAGGACGACCAGGTTGATCACAAGAAGCACAAGTGTGTGTAACGAAGGAGGCTGGCAGGGTATTGCAGGCGTATATACGAATTGATCATCCTGGCCAAGCGGGATCTGACTCGAAATGTCAACAAAATGTCTATTTGTGACCGGCATCCGGAGCTCCAAACCCTTTGGCGCCTTGCTCCTCCCCGCGGCCCGAATTTGCCTTGCAAGATCCACAAGCAGCCGTGGGAAGACCTTTTCCGCAGATCCACTGCGGCTTTTCTAATTCTCCTTGACCCTCCGAGTGCAAGACGTCGCTCAGCTATCGCAGCAGATCCGACTGGATGTCAGAGCTTTGCGGAAGTCGGTAACGCATACCGCCAGAGCAGACTCGCAGTCTCCATGGTGGGTAGCTTGAGCCGTTCCGTTGGTGGCAGCCTGCTCTGTCTTTTGTATGGTCTTTGCTCTTCGTCATCCGGGAGCCGGCCTCTTTTCTTGCAGCACCCTTGTCGAGATGGCCCATCACCATGCAATTCCTCTACGGCAGTGTCCGCCGCTCGAGTCCAGTCCCTTCTGAATCGCCTCAAGTCTTCCACCGTGCACGACCACGGCCCACGATACCAGTTCGTGTTCTTCTCATCTGCCTTTTGCGCTTCGAGAACTTCATCGGGGCCTGGCGGGTAGTACCTGAATTCGTTGACATGCGGCCACGCGGGTTTCTCTTGCGTCCAGGGCATCGTGCACGAGGTCGGTCCAGCTCGCTCAGTTCCGTCGTTTTCGGTGTTGCTGGGATTCTCACGAGGCACACTGGCGGCTTTGCTGAATATGTTCCTCGCTCGTGGCGGCCTCTTCCCTGCCAAGTAGAATGTTGCGTTCTGGCTCAAGTGTCCATCCCACGCATCAACCGCCCGGGGCAGCTCCATCACTTCATACTGCGCTTCCTGATAGAGCACAAAGATCACTCTCTCCAGCTTGGGGAACACAGACAGCCGTTGCAGAAACTTTGTCATGCTGTTCTTGGTCTGTGCTTTCGGTGCTTCCCGGCCCAACGATGGGTGCCAAATGCCACCGAGATTTGCACTGTAGGATGTTCCGAAAGCAATACTGCGGATGTCATCGCGAATCCGGGCGATCTTGCTCATGAAAAGCAGCGTACGGTGGAGCTCTCTCTCAAGGAGGCAGGATTCGAGGAGGAGAATGTCTCGCGATAGGTCGACGTATTTGGTCGCTGAGCTGAGAGTCAGGGGCCTGTAGTGATATAGTATGATGGAACGAGACTCTCGGCACACAGCCGATGCGGCAGGCGGTCGCTCAGTGCTTTCGTTTGCGAAACGCAAGCCCTGCCTCGCTGGAGTCTTTTGGTTTGTCGATGCGGGATAGATGTCGAGCACCCGTGGCTCCGGAAGGGTGAGCTCCCAGATGGAATTCCGAACCTCTGGCGGTAGCTGGCCGAATTTGTGAAATCCCGTAGCCATTGTTCCTGGTCGCAATGTATAAGCTAGGCCTTGCGGCGAGCAGGACAGTTTGCGGCAATGTCTGAGAGATATAGGCAGGTCACCTTCTCCCGTGTTCGATGTTTCCGCCTGGCTCTTTTGTCGTACCCAAGCCCGGCCTCCTGGTTCGCTTCCACGTCGAGATGACAATATACACTAGAAGGCCGCCAGTCCGCGCCGTCGATGTTCTGGATTGTGGTTAACAACGGGTTCCCAGTTCGTTGGGTGCCCAAGAGCGGGTAGCAAGCCAAATATGTCTTCTAGTTCAAGCCGGTTTCAATCCCGTCAGCTCTAGCTGTAGATCTCCAGGTGTACCTCCAAGCAGGTTGAGTTGCTCGCACGAAGTCCGTAGTGGAGTCAACGGCAGATACATTAAGAGAGGGGAAGTGTCCATGTCGTGAGTCTGTGTGAGAGGCGGGGCATGAGTCGCAATTATCAGTAGAGTCTTTTTTGTTCTGCATTATGATCGAATACAGTCGGTGAGGACCAGGGTATAGTACACGAAAGCAAGAGATATGAAATATTGGCTGTAGCCCTGCTCCTCGATATTGGCAGATTATGGGTCCGACCGTTGTCACTTGACATAGAGCATAGCACACCAAACATGCAATCCGCGTAGCCGGACTTGCATGAATATCGGCAAGTTAGCAGAAACGAGTTAGCAAACATGCCACCAGAGTGCGGTAACCTTTGCTTTGCCCGTCGCCGATGGATTGGGTGACTGGAGACAAAAGCTTCCGCATAGGGGTGTCTGCCACACCGCAGTCGCCCGCTTGTGTGTGCAGTGGAGCATGGGGTCGCATGGGTCAAGGGCAAGCCTGCTTCTTGACAGGCATGGACAGGGGTGCGAGTGCGCCATCGACTAAATGAGGTGGATTTGCAAGATATTGCAGGATTGTACATAGTGGTCATTCGCACTTGCGCCCCAAGGAACTACACGATATGGCAGTGGGATGTGCGGCAGTCCCACACTGTGGGACTGCCATGTGATAGCATCGGGGATTCGTCACGGCAGTCCCAGCCCGCTGTCCGAGGTCCTTGATCGGATCTCGAACAGCGATCCTAGGGTCAACACCTAGAGGCAAGGTGGTTCGTCCGAACGCGTGCCCATGTTCGGAGTTTTAACAACGGCATGTGCTGGTCGCAGGGCGCTGGTAGACGTCCGAAAGCCAAGCAAGCTTCGATCGACGGCCCCTTGGACGGAATTTGGTAGAATTGGACCAGGGTTGGCTGCATGCTTGAGCATAAGTGCGAGGTTATATCCATCCGACAGTGCTGGAAGCCCGCAAGACTCGGCTCTTTCCAAGCCAGGAGACATGGCATTGCGCCAGGTTGTGCTGGCTGCGCGGGAGGCTCCCTTGCCTCCACGGCCAGAGGGATACTGGGTAGCGGTGGTCGGTGGGGGGCATTAGCGAGAATGGCACAACCGGATTGCAGGGTTCTCCAAGTCGCTAGTATTGCGACGCTGGCTCATGTCGTCGATACTAGCACAAAGCGTCACCGACCTGTCATTACACTAGACTCTCATAGTCCGAGGCTTGGCGCCGATCTGAATCGTCAGCTAGACACTGCCGAAGGCGGGCATGAGACGGAAATTGAGGATAAGAAGCAGAGGCCGGTAGCGAAGCCAGCCATAGAAGCCATCGCGCTGAGATGTCAGCGCAGCGTGTGGCAGCAATGCCTGAACCTCAATATAACAACTGGGCAGGTGACGCGCTTGGGTGCAGGTCGACGGCGTCCGAGGAATGGTCAAGATGTGCTTGAGCAAGTTGATTGCTGAGGAAATGAGCATCCGGTGAGATAACAATGGGCGGAGGTGGGATTCTTAGTCGATGAGGCCTCTTGGGGCATTTCTCCGTTGACTGAGCATTACGAAGCCCAGGGCTAGGCCACATTCGTCAATCGCCCTCGCGAAGGAGCGGTATGACATGCAAGCCACCTCAGGTTTGACCGGGCCCGTAGTGCTGGACTATTGGCGAGAAACTCGGAAGGACTCCGAGGCCTGATAGATTAAAGCAGACGTGGGATGCTTGCGTACCCGTTGAGAGAGAGTTGTGCTCGCCGATAGCTTGGCCTTGAGGCAAGAGGAGGCGGCGTTGTGTGTGCAATATCGGCAGTCCTGCGCCGCGGGGGGGAGTACATGACGAGAAGAGTCCAAGCATTCGATATCGACAGGGATTTAAATTGAAAAATTGGCCGTTCAGTACCACGCTGCAGCTCGACGATCATGGAGCTATCCTCTGGCTTTCCTAATAATGGCCCTGGACGAGACTCGGAGTCAGTCGACAGTCTGATCTCGGGTTACACAGAGTCAGTCAGGTTTCTCTCCCTCACTTGGCAGCAACCCGAGAAGCAGCAAAAGCGCACGGAGCAAAGATCTTCAACACTCCGGCCACTAGTCCATTTTGGGCTAGACCCGTCGGCTTGGACCCCACTCCCAGTCGCGACACCATAAAACTTCGCTCTGGGCGCGCGAAGCTGCGCTTTTCCCTCTCTCCTCTTGTTCTTTGTGCGGCTGGCCAACTTTCAAGTTTCCCCTTGTTGCTCGGATCCTCAATTCTCTATGGATGTTAATCGTGCGTCAAGTTGTGCCCTAGATCAACCTAATTGCATCCGGCTACTTCAACCGATTTGTCCACTCCAGAAGTTTGCGCCTTCGGGCGGTAGATCTGGGTGGTGGTTGGAGGTCGGACATATCAAAACCCTTCCCCCCGATTGTTTTTGCTTCATTTAGCTCATATGAGGATCGTCAAGGCTCTATTGAATCTTGAACTGCCCTAATTCTCGAAATACGAGATCGTGCTGTTGGAATCTGGGATAATGGACGGGACTGTCAATGGTTTCTCGTGGACTCGTGGCAAGTCGCATTGCCCAGCAAGGTCGCAAGGGTTTGGCGCAACTTGATGTTGATGCATGTCACCTAACGCTTATCACGGTCGCATGCTGGACAGCTCCATCTTGCAGGTTTCCTGAAGCGTCTGTGGTCTGTCTATCTTCTTTCGGGTACTTTATGCCACCTTGACATCTGCCGTGTTCTTGTCCCTAGGCGCAGGTGTCAAACACTGCGTAGTCTTCCGCAATAACCCAAATGTGGAACGCGTTTTCGTCACGCTCTCCTACGCTGCCATCATACGTCATCAACAGCGCCTTGCGATGGGTATCCTCCCCTATCATCAGATCTGCTCTGCGTATAAGACCCCTTGTAAGGAGCCTCGCCTAGTCGCTTCACCCTGTGACGCGTAGGGGATGGGGTTCTCAGAAGGACGGCCTTTTCAAGCACCATCGTCTCCTATCTTTTCCAGCTTGCCCATGTCCCGTTTCTCGCCCGTCTCACCAATCAGCCTGATGCGGTCGATGCGCGTCTTCTCGCCGTCGCCGTCCCCGGATTCGACGAATAACACCAAGCTGTTGATGTTCTGGAATTTGACGAAACGCAGTGGGATGTTGGCCGTTCCCTCGGCGTTCCAGTCCTTCTCGCCGAGCTCGATCAGCTGAGTAGGGGTCTCGCCCTCAGCGTCGTCGAAACCAAGATTGTGTGGTCTGTTTGTGAAGAGCTTAATGACCTTGGGTCGGTCGACATCCTCGTCTTCATCGGCAGCGGAAGTGATCTAGACAGTGTCGAGGTTAGTCTTGGCGCAAACAAGTGTCCAAGATTTGTAGGCTTACCTGGAGGGTGTGCAGCTTCAGCATGGACATGAATGGCACGAAGAGCAGCAGTTGCTCGTCAGTATCGCTGACGACCCAGTCCTTCTCTGTCTTCTTGTCACCGCTCAGACTGCCTGGCTTCGACGAGTCGAGAAGCGTGCGCACACTGCCAAATTCCTCGTCGAAGTTCAGGAGCTCGGCCCTCTGTACCTCAACCTGATCCGTTACGTCTAAGTAGCCCCTGGGGAGCTCAGCGCCCCGCCAGCCGAGGGCTGAGTTTCCGCCCCCGCTGCTGCTGCCGGCAGAGCCGCTACCGCTGGCGACGCTCTGGATCTCAGAGGTCAGCTTCTCGATGATAGACTGTAGCTTCGTCGGGTCTGCGCCCTTGACTTCGTCGATCTTGTTGCCGTCGCGGAACATGATGAATGTGGGGATGCTCGAGACTCGGTAGGCGGCGGCGATGTCCTTCTGCTTCTCCGTGTTCACCTTGACGAAGGTGACGACACCAGGCTTAGATATCCGAGCAGCCAGTTGCTCGTAGAGGGGGGCGATCGCTTTACATGGTCCGCACCAATCCGCATAGACTGTTGAAATGGCTGGTCAGCTTCTCATCCTGCTTTCAAAAGGCTCCGAATCCTAAGCCGGCACTCCATATGTTCGGAGCTCTGGTGGCGCTGCGCGTGGACGGTCGGGGCGAGCTTACAGTCTGCGATGACGATCTTGGAGCTCTTGAGCAGTCCTCTGAATTGATCAGAGGACTCGATGTTTACTGAGGATGACATCTTGCCTGCGGTAGAATGAAGGTCTGGATTTGTGGTAGCTGGCGCAAGCAAAGAAAGAAAGAAAGCTGGCGATGTTGATGGAAGCAGGCCAGGCAGTGCTTGCCCCGCGGCCATGCGGGAGCTCATCAGAGCTACCCACTTTGGTTAGCGTTCAGGCCATGTTGATTCACCCCTGACTTGACAGGCTGGTTTTGGATTGCAGCAGTCTGACTCTCAGCCTGAAAGTGAAGGCAACTTCGGTCGAGTGATAACTTTCCGGAGTAATCGTAGAATCTCAGCGACATATGAATCTGGCCCGCCGTGAGGCAGGTTGGTACCAAGCTCTAATAGACCAGAAGCATGGGGAAAGCTTCTTTCATTCAATTTATCTCACAGTTAGGTGCTATTACCGGTTTGGGCAAACGGCCCAGCAATTCGGGTACCCTATTGATGAAGTATCAAAGATATGATTGGTATGAGGCAGAAATGCCCGGTTTCCACTGTATACCATCTCAAGCTATATACAACGACTGATTCCAAGATTGTTTGTGTATGGGTTCAGTTTGGACCCCTCGGCCTGCCAACCTCTCCCCCCCCCCCCGGTTCCACTTCACTGGTGTATTGTGGGAAATGATGTAGATAAGTAAGACTCGAAGGTACAATTGCTCCCACCGCATAATACGCTCTCTGGTAGCGGAATCCAGTGCATGTGTTAGCGCAAGAGAGCATTGTGAAGGATAATCCATGCAGGGGTAAGAAGAAGGTCTCCTCTGAAGCGTTGATGCTTCGCGAACAGACAGGTGGTTCTTCCTTCCTGGAAAATGGCTAGCCTCCAGGTATCAGATCAGTCTTACCTGAGCCATCGTGGTTATTGAGTGCTCGGAGAAGCTAGCCAAAACCAGGCTTCAAATGGCATCCATAATACGACAGGCTTCGTGTTCCAGTAGTCATTCGGCTCGCCGAGTCGCCTTGTAATGGCCTGGCTGTAGTGTATGGTTGCGGCACTTTTGATAATGCTCTGGGAAATTGTTGCAAGTATGTTTTTCCGAGCTCAAAACTGCAGATTAGCCTCCTGGCCTTAATTACCGAGACCTGTACCACGCTCCGTCCCTAACGCCGTGCTTTCCATGTCCTAAGGGTATGTCACCCAGGACTTTTCACACCTCAGACCCCAACGGCATGACTGAATACCCTGGCAGCCAACTGGCTGAGCAGTCTGGCTCTATCACCTTGTGGAAGCTCCTGCAGATTAAAAAAGTCAGCAACGTGGCCACAGCCAAATTTATGTCAACGGAACAGTGAGGCATGGCAAATAAGTGAGCCGATGTCATCTCGAAGCTAGAATTTCTCGGACGTGGCCATCCAAATGACAACCATATTTGCCACCATAAAAAGGCATTGAGGATCTGCCACTCACCTGGAAAACAGCGTACACGCTCTTTCCTTGTGTATCGCGGATCGCACCCAGCCTGTTCCCAGCTACCGCACCCGCCAGGAGACCTGGGACGTTGGCGACGATGAAACCGAGGGCGCCACCACTCGCGCCTCCCAACAAGCCCCAGAACCGGTTGTTGGCAGTTCCGTTCGGCTCCGCCATGCCCTGCTCGCGTAGCATCTCCTCGAAGACATCGCCAAACTGCGCGTTCTCGGCTTCCTGCTGTGCCTGCCCTGCCTGCTGCTGCTGCTGCTGATTCCCCGCCTGCTGGGTGAAGAAGTTCCACGCCCAGTTGTAGGCAGACTGCCCGGCGCCGGTGTCACTCGCGTTGCCTGTTTCGCCGAAGGGGTCAGCGCCGGCGGAGGTCGAGGCGCCGCCGCCGTAGAACTTTCGCTGGCTGTCGTATTCCCTGCGCCTTGTGGGGTCGGATAGAGTGTAGTAGGCGTCGTTCACGAGCTGGAACTTGCGGGTGCGCGAGGGCCGCTCCGGAGAGTCGGCTGGGACGCGGTCCGGGTGGGTCTTGAGAGCGGCCCGTTTGTAGGCATCTCTGACTTGCTGAGTGTTTGCGGACTCTTGGATTTCAAGGATGGCGTCTATGGGGCGTGTTAGCTGTCGGGTGATTCTTGCTGTTGCTCCATCCCTGGACAGAGCACAAGTCAGGCTCCAGGGCGGGCGGACTGACAGTAGTTCGGTGGCGGTCCGGTGGCCATCTTGAACGGTGAGAGGTGATGTTACTAGGAACACAATTTGTGCAGGAATAAATGTCGAAAAAAGCCCGAGAGGTAGAGATAATAGGAATCTGTAGTTGGCCACCAGCTCACATGTCCCTCGTGGACAAAGAAAGAAAGTCGAGCTGTTCAACTGACCGGCATACGGCCAGCTGCATACAGGACAGTACAGTCACTAGATAGGCAGGGGTAGACGTCATCTGTGGCGTTGGAAACGTGGCTTCCGCTCTTGAGAACAGTCACAGGCATGTCGCGCGATAGCGGGCTCCACGGTATTGGACTAGACTACATCGCAGAGGCAGCCCAACCTAATCTGGAGATTGACCCCTCCAGTTGGCTTGTGATGCCTGTTCGCAAGGTCCGGCGTCATCGCCTTCACACCGCGTCGTTGACCCGAAACAGTTCCTGTCTGCTGGTAAATGGCCCAACATCTTATAATAAGTTTGCCAAGGATTCATCAAGAACCAAGCTAGTACTACAGCCGGCGGGCCAGACTTCATTTCCAACAAAGACTGACAGAGAGGAATGAGGCGGCCATATCTCGGAAGACTCGAGAGTCCTCCCCAGCTGCAGTTCCCACCTCGTTTCGTGTCATGGCGTTATTGGACAAGCAACACATGCGTCTATTGATGGTAGGCCTGTTTCACAAGCGGTTGAAGGCGGCTGCCATGCGGCCATGACTCTTCTGTGATGTGAGTGTGTTTTGGGCGAGGGAAACGGCCCAACCGGGATGGCCATCACAAAGGGGATCTGGGTCTGTTTGAAGCCTGAAGGCCTAAATGTGCCAGGCCGCCCATCGAGGCTTGCCCAGAAACGGGTCCGGACCTTGCATTCCAGAGCGATGATTGGCGTCATCCCGGATTTTGTACCCCTTCCCCCCTTGAATTCGGACCATCTGGACTGACGCTGCCCCTCATTTCATTCCAGGCTTGACCACCTCGACCGTGTATGAAATGAATGACAGGAAAAACGCAAATAGCAGACAGTTCTTGCCTCTTGACTCTTTTCACCTCCTTGCTGTCTTGTAGCCTTTGTATTCCATCAACGTCAACCAAGCCTCCCCGACTTGAAAGAGCCACCACTCGCTGTTTCCTCGGCTGCTTCGTGCAGTGACCGAACACCCCGCGCGATCCGTCGTCATCTGACAACCGTGATTCACTTCCCCCTCGGCCAACCCACGAGGCCGACCCTTCGGACAAACCCCCTTTCCTACACTCAGTAGCTGGAGTCTCCAGACTCACCCTTTCGCAAGTCTATTATTGCCATTTTTTTCAGCTCTCGAGTACACCAAGTACATAGTTTAGCCAGCCCAATATAATCCACGTTGTCTCACCAGAGCGGCTCGGCTTCGAGCACACACGGTCAAGACATCCTGCGACCTGCTGTTCTCTACTTGCAAACCAAAAGGACTGCTTCTTGCGTTGTTTTTGAGGTCTAGACCTTGAGGAACTTCAGAAAAATCGGAGGGGGGAAGAACAAAGACATCACATTGTCAGAACTCACCGTACTCTGCGAGGCCTTTTGTCTGATCCAGCGGCACGCAGGCAGTGCTGCAGGCACAAAGTCCCTCCACATACCTGAATAACACCGCTGACCCTTCTCTCAGAACGCAATGATCTTCCATAGCCAGCCCGACATGGCGGTTCAGGACGATCTAGCCTCGCTCTTCTCTAAGAACCTCACTCTCACCTCCAAACCGCCACCAACCCCTCCCCAGGAAGATAAGATCGTCTACATCTCCCAGCACTACAACCATAGCGCACACATCACGGCCCAACAGCAGCAGCCCCAGGTCCAGCAGGATGAGCCTATGCAGCGACCATCCTCGGAGCCCCCACGGTCGGACCTGCAGGACCTCGAGCTGCTCCTCCGCAACCACGGCGTGGACACGTCGGCTCTTTCCCTCCCGCAGGTCGAGCTGTTCCGCAACGCGGCGGACGCCCAGAAGGCGCGGCTGATCCAGCTGTGGACCATCTGCCCTCCCAGCAACCCGGCGGACAACCCTTCCTTGACCTGGAGCAACACCACCGTCGAGCAGGAGGAGATGCTCGCCCAGAGGCGGTTCGAGCACCAGCAGCAGCAGCAGCAGCTCCAACACGCCCCTGCCGACGAGACCGTCATGAGCCTGGACGGCACCGACACTGGGACCACGTTCGGCAGCTCGCCCGCGTCTATGCAGTCAGGCGACGGCAGGTGGGTCGCCCACGCGCAGCACTACATGGAGCCGTACATGCAGAGCGGTTACGAGCAGCTTGCCAAGAAGGAGTACGGTGCTTCCGCGGGCAGGGGGGTCGCGGAGTACAAGATCGCCACCGACCCTGTGTATCAGTCGACCGGTGGGGTGCTGGATTACGAGAGGCAGCAGTGGATGGAGAATCAGTACGGCTCTGTCGTCGGCGGCTGGGGCGACGATGAGGAGATGCTGTAAGGAAATGGGAGGCATACTTCTTTTGTTTCGACGTCTGGGTGATCGGGTTGTCTGACTCCGCCCGGGCGCGAGGATTCCACAATGATTGTTTTCCCTTTTCTTGGGACAGATATGGCATGGCACAGCACAATGATATCCGAAAGACTGCGTTTGCGCATACTTGATACTGAAGAGGGCGTTAGCATGCATTCATAGCACACTTACAACTACCCTCAAGGGAGACGGCGTCAAGGGTTATGTTTTCTTATTAGGGATTAGTCATTCTTTTACCCCCGTCTCCCATGATCGTTATCAGCAGGACAGAGTTGTACCTTTGAGAGCAGCCAGTCCCTTGACCGCCCCATTGGACATGACTTATAGCAAAGGGACATCGTTGGTAGAGAAGTCAGGTGCAGAAAGAGGACTTTCGAGCGGGCGAAGACAACTCTTGTAGGACATTCTCGATGTTGTCGGATAACCTCCCATGGGACAACCTCCTGTAGGATAATCTACTGTGGGATAACCTACTGTGGAATAATATACTGTGGGATGACCTCTCTCCTCTAGGATAATCTCCTAGAGGACAGTCTCTTTGTGCGAGCTGGTTCCGTGGAAAAGCCTGCTATTGGATAACCTCCGTTCTGGCATGGGTGTTGCTGAGAGCTGGCAAAGCTGAACGCATCCATACAGCTTCGCAGGATCTCCCAGTTGTCTCGGGGCTTGGGTCCAAGACTATGAAACGATGTGCACTAAGATGAACTGAGTGTGACGGGTGCGAACTGCGTTCCAACATGACAATTCGCGAGCAGCGGACGGAAGTGCGCGGCAAGGCTTCTGTTATGCATGCAGGTGTCTAAACGTGCGAGGGGGGGCTTCTCCGCCAGACCATACGCATCCTCCATGTTGCCTTCTATCCATTCAAGCAACAAGAATGTACATCCAACTTTGCTTTCGAACGAACCGACGCAGTGTGGTCCGATCACATCACCAACAATACCACAGCGGACTCTGCGAGGCAACCAGAGCCCACATACAGCCCCTCTCTCCTGTCTGTTTTGCTCTCCCTCTCTCTCATAAACATTACGAAAAAGCCAACCAAAACGCCGCCAGCCAAAAGCCTCTTCACGACGAAAGACGGTCAAGTGCCCTGCGTTTGCTGAGAAGAGCAGGAAGCGACTCATTCATCTCTTTTTCGACTTGCGCTTGCTGCTCTTTCCAGACTTGGCCTGAGGCTGGCTGCCGGTTGCCTTGGGAGCGGAGACGTCCTCGACCGACTTATCAAGCAGCTCGAAATCATCGTCCACAGAGCCAGTGCTGGGGGTTCGCTTGCCGCCGGCGCCGGACGAGGAGTCAGTCTCGGCGGAGCCGACTTCCTTAAAGTCGGTGCCCTCCTCCTCAACCTCCTCGTAGTCCTCGTCGCCGTCCTGGTTCTTGGAGAGGAAACGGCCAGCGGTGCGGCCATAGAACCAGATGGGCATACGCACGAGGGCGGTGTCGCGAATGGTGGGCTTGGGGATCTCGTTGGGCTGCAGTTTGGTCAGCAATAGCTCACATCATTGGGTCTGGAAAGGTCAAGATGGGGGGCAGGGGCGGGGGTCAAGAACCTACGTCAAGCAAGAATTCCTCCACGTTGCCATCCTCGTCCTCCTGCTCGAGGTACACGTCACCGAGAGAGTCAACAACCAGGACCTTGCCGTTCTCCGCAACGACACGCTTCTTGGCGCCCTGGGGACCAGCGGAACCAGCAGTGGCAGCGGCGGTAGGGGTAGCGGTGCCAGAGGCGGAGCTGGCGCGGGGGGGAGCTCGACGACCACCGCGCTTGGCCCCTTCCTGAGGATTGCCCTTCTTGGCCTCGCGCTCCTGCATGCGCCTCATCTTGCGGTTGGTGGGCATGGCCTGCTCCGGCTGCTCGTCGGCGGGGCCCGGGGGCGGCGCGGCGGTCCCGACCGGTGCACCGCCGGCGCCGACGTCGACGGCGGGGATCCCGAGGTTGTCGCCCCACGCCGCGTGCCGCGCAAACTTGATGTAACGCTCGACGAACTCGCGCTGGCGCTTCCAGCCCATGTACAGGGCGATGTAGTGCGCACCGCCGAGGGCGAGGAAGACGCCGAACATGACCGTGCCGAGGCCGGGGCGGTACCGGTCGTAGTAGTAGTTGGTGCCCTTCCACGTGGGGAAGCCATTGGACACGAAGTGGTCGTAGCGAGCACGGCCGGAGCCCTTGAGGATGTTGGCGACGATGGACAGGCGGGCTTGACGGTCGGAAGCGGTCTTGATGGCGGCCTTGATCTCAGACTGCGAGGGGGGCTTGGCGACGTTCACGCCGGGCTTCTTGTTCTTCTTGTCCTTCTTGGCCTTGGTTCGCTCGGCGGTGAGCTGCTGCTTGACCTTGTCGGGGTGGAGGGAGCGAGACTTCTTGCGGTAGGCTTTGTTGATATCATCTTGGGTGGCCGAGGGGGCGACGCCGAGGAAGTCGTAGAAGCTCACTTCCGGGCCTTCGAAGGTGGCGATCTCGTCACGCAGACGGAAGATCTCACGATCTGGTTGAAGAAGAGTTAATGATCAGCTATGCGGTGGCATGGTTGGCGAACGGTTGTCATGTCTGCGGATATGTACGTACCCTCCTTTGACCAGGCCGCGGCCAGAGGCGTCAGAAGAGCCAAAAGGCTCAGGGAGAACACAGACAACTTCATGATTGCATATCGATGTGGCGTTGACTGATGGCTTTTTCCAAGGAGGTTGGGCTCCAACAAATCCTAGAAAATGTTGGTGTTGGCGCCAATGGGCTCTGAAAGGAGTAAATTTGGAATCAGTAGCTGCGATCTGTACACAGTACTAATCTATAGGACCTTTTTTCTGGTCTGAAGCAGTGCCGAGCCGAACCCCCCTGCACTTGTTCGTCTTTGGTTGGTGTCACACAAGCTTCTAGCCCAGGGCAGGGCCTAGCCGGGGTACAACTTCTCCACCGAGGACCCTGAACATCAACCACTGACTCTTGTGAAGAGCAAAGGGTTGGCTTCTTCCACGATTCCCCGGCGTTCCTAATAGGGTCATATCATGTTGGTACATAGTGTTACCTGGCTACTATCCGGAAATATACATGTCTTACGTGCTTGATTACGTAGAAATAAGCAGGTATGGGACTGCAAGTCAATCCTTCAAGGGGTTGGTTGTCCTGTCACTAACAAATTAGGTAGCCGTTTGCATGAGCCGGTGCCGGTCTAGTTTCTTTGATTGTGGCCCCAGGTTGACAAAGCGAAGAAGCCCAGAATGTCATCCGAGAGCCCTATATATGTGTTGAGCCTACAATATAGTCAAGAAAAGAGGCTGTAAATGGTATAATTTAGGAAGCAGGGGCTGTACTGTACTGTAAAGGGCTGTCCCCCAGTAAAGCACATAACTTGTCCGTGAGCCCCTGAGTGAGCCAGCAATGCAATTGTGAATGGAGTATCCAGACCTTCAACTCAGCCACATGTCCTCACTGTATCTACTCGCGTATCCAGGCAGCTAGGCACCTGTAGATTTCCGAAGACACTGTCCAAGAGCTTATGCATCCTCAGTGGCGTATCGGCCTTAGGCCAGGTGGCAGCTTATTGTGCTGTGCCTTGTAGGTATGTAGACTGCCTAAAACAGGGTCTTGCCATCGAATGGGAACAGACCCGGCAGTGCCAACTTCAAGCTATGGGTGCAATATTATGCAGGTTGCATCTAGTGTGTGCGGTATGCGAGGTGAGAAAGGGTGCTGGCAACCCAAAGAAGCATGTCTGCCTGAATGCTTACAGCGGCTAAGCAGAGGGTCCAGCATGGCTGAAGGGAGTCACTGCCTAGAGAAGAAATCATATCTGTCAACTACGATGTTAGGATGCATTCCTGAACACGAATTGCAGAGAGGCACAACGCTCCAGCAGAAGGGGGAGAGTCCTCTTTGGCACGTGATTGCTGCTGCCTCCTCTCTGCCTCCCTCCCTGCCCCCCTGTCTTTTTTTGTTTTAGCGTAAGACTGGGATTCAGGAGGCCAGGCCAGGTTCCTTGTTTCGGGCAGGATCCAAACATTTGCTTACAGGGGCCACGTATCGTGCCGGGCCTCTCTTGCAGTTGTAGGCGCTTCTTACGGCAGTACATTACCACTCTGCAGACAGACTTCAGCTGCACCTTCCTGCCCTGCTTGTTCATCATCATCACCAAGTCACACCGACTATTCATTCACCTCTATAAGGTCTCCCAGACTGCCGCACACTCTCTCTTCTTAGCTTTCCCCGCTTTCTCTCCTTAGTGGACTCGAGGACGTCGACCCCGTCGCTTGTCGACAAACAGAGGCCCCTGGAACGCGCCTCTGCCTCCGCTCCCTTACTCTGCGCCAACGGCTGCCAACGACGTCCAAACCTGCCTTGGTCATCCAGATCAACCCATTGTTGACCCGATTGACCGCGCGAAATCGTGACGCCTACAATTGTAGCAAAGGACACCCAGCCGAAGCCAAACATGGCACGCATCCAGATCCCCATTGACGCTCTGACGAGCCGTCTCCAACTGGGAGACCGATTTAACAGCATCCGTTCTTCCTCCCTGTCCAGCCGATTCGCGAATCTCCGGCCTCTCTCTGAGTTCTTCGACTTCAAGCGGCTGTCCAAGCCTGAGAACTTCGCCGAAGCCCAGTCTCGTGTCAACTACAACCTCGGTCACTTCTCCAGCAACTATGCCGTGGTCTTTGCCATGCTCTGCATCTATGCTCTGCTCACCAACCCCTGGCTTCTTTTTGACATCATCTTCGTCGTCCTCGGCATGTTTCTCATCGGCAAGCTCAACGGCCAGGACCTCGAGATCGGCCAGACCCGCCTCACCACCTCCCAGCTGTACACCGGTCTGTACGTCATTGCCATCCCGATCGGCCTGATTTCTTCGCCCTTCAGCACCATCATGTGGCTCATTGGTGCCAGCGGTGTGGTCATTCTTGGCCACGCAGCAATCATGGATAAGCCCCTGGAGGAGGCTTTTTCCGGGGAGGCGGTCTAGGCGGTCGGCCGCGAGCTCCCAAACGTGCGCCCCAATGGGGAAGACCATCGAGGCGAGAGAGGGACTACATGGCTGCTGGCTACGGGCAGAGTATGTGGGGTAATGGTCAGAGAGTGGTGGAAGAGCTGGGGACTGGTGACGATACTGATACACAAGGAGTTGGTCTGGCTTCGGGGAGACGTTTTGCAAGCGATCCGCTTCGTTTTACGGGAGTAGATATGGGCGAGAGCATGGTGCGGTCGCGCAGGAGAGCCTACGAACAACCAGATGAAGACGACGACACTTCTGACTCGGACCAAGACTCGGAACTTGACGCCGGGAGCGAAAAACAGCTTGCTCTACAAGAAAAAGAAAATGCCTTGGTGGAATCTGCATTGCGACGAATACGGCGAGCACAAGCAAAAGGCAAACAGGAGGTCAAACTGAACAAGAAGGAGCTGGCAGCTTTGGAACAACGGCGCAAGCGCATGCAGGCCGAATCTGGCGGGAGCAAGAAGAAGAAGGAGCAGCGGTACGCTGTGCCATTGTCGCAGCTGGGGCCAATATCACAAAAGGAGAACCGAGCTCTTGTTGCGCCTGATGACACATTACCTCATCATCCTTCGCCGGGGACATTTGAGAGAACACAGGAGGGGAGGCTTCAACCGCCGGTTGGCTGGTTCGCTCACCCGCCGTCGTCCCGTCCAGGAACCGCCGATTCTCGTGAATCTCGCAGATCTTCTGGAAGGGCATCCGACCGCGAACTCAGCTCTTCCCCTTTCCAGTATTCTTACGTCCAGCCATCAAGCTCGCCCTCGAACCCGAGACATTCATCCGATCCCTCCTTACGGCATCGCTCATCCCGTGGTCCACTGCCTCACGAAGAATCATGGACGCCACAGTATGGCACATCCGCATCCACATCGTCAATACCCTCGGCACATGACCCTTTCAGATACATGACCTCAGGCCCGCAAGCTCCTTATCATGCTGGTAGTACAGCTGGTCCTCGTAATTTCTCCGGCTCTTCACCATACTTGGATCCTCTGCGCGCAGGCAATGCTGCTCGGCGCCAGTCCAAGCAGATCAGTCCTGATGACACCGAGAGTGAAGACAGCGATGATGAGGACGACACCAGCGATGAAGTGGGCGCGGGCGTGCGCATTGGGAGCTCAAACGTCGGGCCTTCGAGCGCTCGAGACCAGATAATTGTCGAGGAGGAGCGTGAACCTACACCGCCGCCTCGGCCTGTGACGCGATCAAAAAAGGCCTCGTCAGCTACATCGTCTCCTAAACGAAAACCCGTGGGCGGTGGCACTGGCCGCAAGAAAAAGGGCAGCAAATGAACGAGTCTTCTTCCACGATACCCTGGGCCTTCTGTTTCGCGTGCACGTGTCCATGTCTAGGGAGCTTGTGGATAGTCTCTTGGGTCGGCCTGTATTAATTATTATTATCTGTTCTGTTAGACTGGACTCCATAGAAAGGCGTCTGCGAATAGTATTGATTTCCCATTCCTATATTTCTCACGTCTTGCCTCTAATTACATGCCACGCCACAATTAATTCTGCTTTTTGGAGTGTATAGGTATCAAAAGACAAAATGCCACCCATAGTCTGGCCTGTCTCAACAAAATGTCGTCAAGTCGTTTCTTCATGAATCTCATTCAAGGCGCCGCACCCCTGGACCCTTGAGGTGACCCTTGGGATGACCAACATTGGCTGCCGGTCAAAACCAGTCCCTGACCGACTTCATCAGCCCGTCACCCCATCCACCATGAGAATCCCTCTCCCAGCTCCTCCTCTCCCACTGCAGCCCGCCGTCGTGGCCCCTCTCGAGGCTGACCCTGCCATCCCCACCCATGCCGCTCGCCATCCTCACGGCCTCACCCACGAGCCCCACGCCGCCGCCGCTCATGGCGCGCGCGCCGACGCCGAGCATCCTCTCGATGCTGGGCGGCAGGCGCAGGCCGAAGCGGGCGAGGAGGGCGGTCAGGGCGCCGCCGGTGAGGAGGGGCAGGACGACGAGGGTGAAGACCTTGACCGGGTGGCGCTTGGCGTAGTAGACCAGGTCCCGCAGCAGGCGCTTGAGCTGCTTGTAGGCGCGGGTGAGGAAGTTGGGCCGCGGGGAGCGGCGGTAGGACGAGGTCGAGGAGCGGTGCTTGTCTGTGGGGCAAGGGGGTTGCGTGTTAGCAGGTCATGGCGATCTTTGTATGTATACTTGAGCTGGTGGTTAGGGGGAGGGGTTTGCTGTACACATACCGAAGCCGAAAAAGCTCCTGGTCGAGGCATTGGGCAGCCCGAAGAAGGAGCCCCGGTTGCTCTCGTGCCGGGAGTGGCGGTGCCTGTCGTCGTCGCCGCCGAAGATGGACGCGGCGATGGAGCGGGCCCCCGGGGACCTAGAGCGGGACCTCGACCTCGACTTCGGCCGAAGAAAGACGGACCCCGACTTGCTGCGACGCTTGCTCGACGATCCGTGGTGCTTCGACTGGTGAGACTTGCGGCTGATCACCGAGGCCGAGTCCCAGCCGTCCAAGAAGCCCATGGCGAATTGTGGGAGTGAGCGAGACGAGGTGGAGCAGCTATACTTTATGCTATACGGTGTAAGTGAGCCGCCGTTGGCCGTTGAGTTTGACTTCTGACTCTTTTTGGGTTTAGATGGCCCCGTTCGAACAGATGGCAAGCGTCACGATCTGTCGCCGGGGGGGGAGGCTCCAGTGGGTAATGAGTGACAACTCACGGGGTGGAAATGCAAGCAAGCGCTTTGCGACCGTCATGAGATTGGACGGGGGCGGGAAGCTTCCTGGAGCTCAATTGAGCTCGAAGCGGTGAAATTGAGGGGCTGGGCCTGGTTGAAAGAAGCACATGCAGGCGACCCCTGAACGGCAACTCGCTGCCAAGGGAATTGAAGGCTCATTAGCGAATTCAGGAACGCTACCATTCGCAAGATCCAGGGGTCCCTTCCAGGGCTCCGATCAACGGGGCCCTGTGTGGAGTAAAACTCTGCCCCTCGTCTGGTGTCATGCCCAGCTGGAGGGGTTGCAAAGGTGCTGTGCTACGTACCTGTCTGCGTTGATGGGATGACTCAATCAAGGTCAACAACATTCGATCAACTTCGTACATAAGCTCTTTTCTGGTGAGTCAAACCCTCAATTTTATTTCTCCATCCTTCAATTCGTTCAATTGACTGGACCAACAGAGGACAGCCCCCAAGACAAGACCCCAGCTTCAGCAGTCCGGCAAATACACCCCCAGACAGCTCAACATGGCGCCCACCGTCCTCCACCTTCGCGCCGAGACCAAGCCTCTCGAGCACCGCTCCGCCCTGACGCCCACGACCGCGAAGGCCCTCATCGACGCCGGCTACGAGGTCCACGTCGAGAAGGGCAGCGGCGTCAAGTCCGGCACCACGCGCATCTTCGACGACGCCGAGTTCGAGAAGGTCGGCGCCAAGATCGTCGAGGAGGAGTCGTGGGTCGACGCGCCTGCCGACCACATCATCGTCGGCCTCAAGGAGCTGCGCGAGGAGACCTTCCCCCTCAAGCACGTCCACGTCCAGTTCGCCCACTGCTACAAGGGCCAGGAGAACTGGGACCAGGTCCTGGCGCGCTTCCCCCGCGGCGGTGGTACCCTACTGGACCTGGAGTTCCTGGCGGACCCCAAGACGGGGAGGCGTGTTGCCGCTTTTGGGTACGACATACACGGCGCTGCTTCAAAATCTTACTGTGGGAAATCAATGCTGATTTTGTTCGCGACGCAGATACCACGCTGGTTTCGCCGGAGCTGCGCTTGCCCTGGAGAACTGGGCATGGCAGTTGACCAACCCATCCGAGCCCTTGCACAGCGTTTCCTCATACCCCAATGAGAATGAGCTCATTGCAAATGTCAAGAAGGAGCTGGCGGATGGACAGAAGAAGGTCGGCCGCCTGCCCCGGGTCATCGTCATTGGCGCACTGGGTGAGTTATTGTTTGCTATTCTGAACGTCGAAAACGTCACTAACCTCGTTATTCTCCTAGGTCGCTGCGGCAAGGGAGCAGTGGACATGTGCCTCCGCGCAGGTGTGCCCGAGGAGAACATCCTCAAGTGGGACATGGCAGAGACAGCCAAGGGCGGCCCTTTCAAGGAGATCACCGACAGCGATGTCTTCATCAACTGCATCTACCTGGCTTCCAAGATCCCCCACTTCGTCAACACCGAGTCTCTCAACGCGGCTGGTGCTGACCGCAAGCTGTCCGTCGTCTGCGACGTCTCCGCCGACACCACCAACCCCTTCAACCCCGTGCCAATCTACAGCATTGCTACGACCTTCGACAAGCCCACCGTCCCCGTTCACTCGCTGGAGCAGGGCCCTCCTCTGTCGGTCATCAGCATTGACCACTTGCCATCGCTGCTGCCGCGCGAGGCTTCCGAGGCGTTCAGCAATGACTTGCTGCCTCACCTGCTCAAGCTGAACGACTGGCGGAATGACCCAGTCTGGGCCGGTGCTGACAAGCTGTTCAAGGAGAAGGTGGCTACCCTTCCCCCTTCAGCTCTGGAGAAGTGAGAGTGATATAGACAAGGGAATGGCATGGTATCGGGCGTTCTTGGTGACTGGATTTTGAAAAGCAAGGGATTTGGTGTGTGAAGACAAAAGGTCAAGTCATCTAGATACAGACTGGCCCTGCTTCATGGTGGGAAGGCTATATCCAACCAATATAAAGAAGCGAATAAGTCCTTATTCGCTGGCGACTGCTGCCAATGGCGCGCAGGGTATATCAAATTCGTGCCTATCAAACGTTGGCACTCCCCGATGGGTTCAGCTTCCCCTTCGTCGACCCTCCACCGAGCATTTTCCAGATCCGAGACTTTTCTTTCCTCAGCATCGCAGTCTTTCCCCTCTTCGGGGCCCCATCAGCCGTATCCACCGTCAACATGTCCTGTCTCCCAGCATCGCCGTGTAGCTGCTGCTGCTGCTGCTGCTCCGGGATGGAATTCACCGTTCCACCCACGGGCTTCCTCGTGATAGGAGTCACCGGTGACACCGAACCAGCCAGAGAGTTATAGGTCCCGACGCCCTCCGAGACCGGTGACACCTGGCCGGCTTCCGAGTGCGGCGAGGCCGGCGACTGCAGCGCGTACGACGGGCTGGGGTTGTACTCGAACGTCGTCCCCGACGTCGCCGTGCTCGCCGTCCGCGACTGCGACCGGGACTGCGACGACGACGACGATGAGGTCTGCCCGCTCACCGGCTCCGCGGGTAGCTCGACGGCGGCCGGACCGCCGCGCGGCGCGCTCGTGCCGTCCAGCTCGGTCTTGTTCCGTGCCGCGCTGGTCCCGAACGAGTCGATCTCGTGCCGGTTCCCGCCGTCGGTGGGCATCTCGGCCTTGTCGTCGAGGTATGGCTGCCCGTCGCTGCCGGTCTTGCTGGCCTTGCGGATCCCGGCGCCGGCGGTGGCGCCGGCGGTGGCCACCGCGGGGGTGGGCTTAGTCGGCAGATTGGAGGCGGTCCAGCTCTCTTCTACGTCCTTGGGCTTCCCGGCTGTCCACCTCTCGTACCAGCCGCCCTTTTCCTTGTCCTGCGCATCCCTCATGTGCCTCTCCCTCCTCTCTCTTCTCTTCTTCGCCCTCCTCCACCTGAACCATACTACCAGAACCAGGAAAATCACCACGACGATCACTGCGATCGAGATGCCCGCCTGCTCGGCGGGGCCCAGCCCGTGGGACGGGTGGTCCGGCTCTGGGATGTCCTCGGCTGGCACGACGCTGAACTCGCTGGACTCTACCTCCTCCGTGTCGTCGTCGATGTCTTCGTATCTCTTGGAGGTGGTCCACAGGAGACGCAGCCGGTACCCGGACCCGAGGGGCAAGGCTGTCTCGTTGACGTAGAACTGGGTGGAGCCCGTGTTGTCATGGGCTTCACAGGTACTGTCCGAGTCTTCTGGGCAGTTTGGAGCTGTGAAAGGGCCTCGTGTAAGTTTCTCGTCCTTGCTGTGCTGATCATGTGCGAGTAGGGGGAGGTGAGTGTGCAAGTGACTTGAGTAAATAAGTTGACCGACCTAATACCCAGTTGGCATCAGCAGAGTTGTCACTCTGACCACTACCGTGCACATATATCCCAGCTATAAAGCCCTGTTGGTTGGTCCAGTATATCGTGGTCCTCCTGCCGGCACCAAACTGTGAGGGGAACGACCTCGAGCCCGCGTTGTTGGTCACGAAGTCGTTGGCACAGCTCACGCCGAGCACGAGCGAGGCGAAGGCCGCCCACGAGAGTCCCGACGGCAGCATCCTGGCAGAGCAAAGCACATGCCACAGCCCTGACGAGCAAGTTCAATAGAGTCTCGAACTATTATTACTGACAGGCCTCCCAGCTCTTCAGCGCATGAACATGCCGTTGTGCCTGGAATGGGGTTGAAAGAAGCTTAATTTTTAGGAAGAGGTTCCCGTGGGGCGTTCATTTGGTTACTTGTACCAGCATGTTTTCTGTCCCTGCCCACTCACGGGAATGCAGGCTCGCCTTTTCTGGCTTCCCGAGCGACATCATGTCCATCCAACCCCCCTTGTCAAGCTGAACTCATCGAGCCCCGTCCCCATAGTAAGGAACGTCCAGAACAGCCCGCAGCAGGGAAAAACACTGGGTTCCCGTTCGACCGTCCCGCAGCGTGGCAGCGGGTTCTTGGGGGGGGGGGCCAAGCCACGCCAAGCGGCACGTTGGAGGAGGTGCGGGAGAGCTATTTGTGTAACTGTTGAGTGTCGCTCCTGCAGATGCTCGCGCAAGCACCGGGCGAGGTGCGTGGGCTTAGGGTACACGCGAGGAAAGAGATCGTCTGCAATCTGCCTCTGCTTGGCGTGCAGAAAGACGTTGCTCGGCAGGCCAACCGAGACCCCGGCCAGAGCTGCTCAGCCACTGCAGTGTGGGTCCTGCGGCCTTTTGCTGCCGTGATATCGAGCGATTGGTGGTAGCACCGGGACGCATCGATGACGGCCATGTCGGGGGCTTTTTTCTCCCGTTCAGCTCTGAGTTCAGGGCAGTGCTGGAATCTGCGACATGTCTGACCTAAGCGAGGTGTGCGTAACTCCTGGGAGGCTGGCTGACAATCATGTAAGAAGGGTGAGAATATTGTTAATCAATTTTGCCCGAATCATTGGTTGCGGCACATGACCGTGCTCGGAGATATCTATTATGTTTGTCCAGACAAAACGTGTCCATCGGTTCCTATCTGGCAAAATCATGACACCAAGTCGGTGAATACTTCCTCTCCCTGTCTGTACATTAAGAGCCCCTGTCATTGTCTTCTTGGAAGCTCCATCTGTAACGCACAATGATATGATAAACAGCAGAATCAATGGGACCGAGGCCACTTTCCAAGAAGAAACAAGCAGTACCATGCTTTTAGGCGAGCCGAGCGTGGCCGGTATGCGGGAGCTTTGGCTTGGCCTGACTTTCACTCAGTCTGTGTTGTTCATGCCTAGGAAATCCATCATCTTGGCGAAATGGAGACATTACGTTCCAACGCCCGGTTTCGTACTTAAGAACTTGATCAGAGATCAACCGGACAAGCTTCCTCGGTCTGGATCCATTTGGACCGTGGACGCAGCACACAGAATGCGTTGAGATAGTGTCTTGAGCAAAGATAACATTACCTATACAAGAATCTCACCAGAGCGATGATTATAGGGACGCAGATCATGCTGACGCCGGCAGTGGCAGAGCAGTGGGTAGCAAAAAAGCTAATGGCAAGCAGTCAAAGACAGGGCCCATGAATAGGTACATCAAGAAGCAGAAGACAGAGGAGTAAGGAATTGTTATCTACTATATAGCCTACTAGAGGATACCAATATGAATTCCATAGTATGGGCTCCATACCTTTTGGTGGGATAACCTCCTGTGGGATAACCTCCTATGGGATGACCTCCTCTCTCCTCTGGGATAATCTCCTCTGGGATAATCCCCTCTAGGTTAATCTCCTCTAGGTTAATCAAGGCTACTCATCAAGCACAATCACTCGTTCCTCAATCTCTTCTAAATATAAATCTTCATTCATTGCTACCCCTTTAGTCTCCTCGCTCCGTATCATCACCGACGTCATCCGAGCAGTCGGCTTGCATCCAGCCAGCGCGGACATCAGAGTTTGAGTTTGTTTACCAAGGAACAGGATGGGCTGGGCCAGAGTTTAACCTCGCCGGCTAAGGGAGCATCTTGAGGCTCTAGAGTATCACAGACGGTCGAGGGTAGGGTGACTGGGCAGCGATTTTAATAAAACTAGTTTCCTTGGCTCCATCTGAGAATGCTCATTTCATTTTGCTTCCTATGCTACTGAATTAGGTTCTCGAGATCCGACCCCACCAAAGCTCAAAACAGCCCCAATTGAATCCGAGAACAAGGTCGTAGACACTTATATTTTTAGAAAAGTCTAGCCAGAACTATCTTACTAGCAGTCCCTTGGCCAGAAGACGAGCCGGGTACATGGTAGCTAGCAGTGACGATTTAGACTCGTCAAGTCGACGCTAACACAAAGGCTGTAGTTGTGTGTATAGCGTCGTTCAACAAGCGGTTAACTTCATGTGTCCGCCTCAGACGGTTCATCATTTAGCAAGACCTACCAGGGGGGAGGGGGGGTTTTGTTTAGGTGCTGCGACCAAGTCAATAGAATAGTGACATAATAGTGACATACTGTCAAGGTTCTGACAGTATGTTTTTTTGTGTGCCTTGCATTATTTACATGTTACTAACATGTAGTCATTCTTGACATGCTGTGATATGATGTTAATTCTTAATATGGGAGATTAAAAAAAGAGCTTTTTTTTCCTCGTCCCTAACTTAACTATTTATTTATTTTTTACTAGCTTGTTTATTTACTATGAAAGGATTTATATAACTATGGAGATTTTTAAAAATAAAAATAAGTTTGGAATTAATAATTTAAACTAAAGCTCTTGGCAAAGATTTATACTAACATTGGATGACATAAGATTAATTTTAACATGAAGTCAATATTGACATGATTTAAAGCCTTGACATAATTTATTTCTGATAGTATTTTGATAGTATTTTGCTAGTATTGCATTGTAATTTCAAAATTTTGTTTAGATCTCAAAACATGATTGCATTGCGTGACCCATACAAAGCCCCCCCCTCCCCCTGGTAGGGACCTAGAAATGAAGTACAGCGGTGGATTCCGGAGCGCTTCCTCCTGCAATAGCCCTGTCAGAGGCCGTACCGAACTTGTATTCATGGCTACCTGGACGTTTGGCTCAAACCAATGAGGTTCAACTAAAACGATCGTCGGTCCTGTCCGTGCCAATAACAAATATGTCACACTGGCCCCCTCAAGGAAAAACGGTCTTCAGGGCGTTACCATAGTCCGTATACGACGAGCCCTTCTTCTCTACGTCGTAATCGTTCCAGTATCCTGTCGTACTTGTTAGTCACCTGCTACGGAGCCTAAAGTGTTGCATTCTGGAACATTCCACACGAAAGACGGGGATCCGTAAAAGAACAAAAGGTGCTTACCTCCTCCCCCGAGCGCACTCCGCGACTGCCAACCGCTGAACCGGGACTGAGCCTGGGCGGGCGTCACGCCGAAGGACGGCTTGGAGTCGTTGATGACCCAGAGGAGCGGCACGACCTTCATGCTCAAGGTACTCTGCCAGCCGACGGGGTCATTGCCCGCCCCGCCGTCGTAGCACTGCAGGTACACCCTGTCCAGGAGCAGGTTCGGCTCCGCGAGGCCGCTGTTGAGCTGTGACCGCACCGAGTTCCAGAAGCCCGAGTTGGTGTAGGGGGCGATGGTGTACTTGTACCCGATGTTGCCGAGCATGCGGCCGAAGGCGACGGTGCTGGAGACGTCGTAGATGGACTCGTCGTCGTTGTTGACGGCGTCGAGGCCCCAGGCGGTCTTGAGCGCCGCGAAGTTGCGGTACAGCCTCGTCGAGGACCCGGTGCCCGGGCTGGCCACCAGCTCCTTGATGTGCTGCGAGTTCATCGAGATCTCGACCCGGTTGACGCCCGTCGTGCCCGTCTTGAAGGATTTCACCTTGTCGGACAGCGCTGTGCCGCCGACGTAGGCACCGTTGGATGCGATCAGGACATCCGAGCTTCCTGGGGTGTTTGAGTAGTACACTAATGGGATATCGAATCAGCTATACTATCAGGGGAGAGATTTTCCCATGGAGCACAATAGGCACGGTGCACAACTTGCTCATGGTCTTCTTCGCAAGCTGTGCCCCGGCCAAGTCTTTTGGGACGGCTCGTTCAGAAAATGGAGATGTTCTCCTGGGGTTTCTTACTGATGTCGCCATTATCGATCACACCAACACCAAAGATGATGAGACTGTTGAAGCCAGAACTCTTGATGGCTGCGGTGTTGGACTTCAGCACGTCCTTGAACAGGAAGATGCTCCTGATATTGGCAGCGAGGACATTGCAGAGGAGAACCTGGAAGAGCAGAGCTCTGGCTAGACCGTAATACCTCATTCTCCTGAGACGGTGTGGCCTGCACGGCGACCGAGCTGTCGGATTGGTGACTCGGAGTTAGGAGAGAATGCTCGTGACAGATTTCCAACCCGGTTTACAGAAATTTCCAGATTCGCGCAGAGACTGAGCACCAGTGAACGGATGGGAGTGCTCTCAATCTGAGCAACCGGAACGCGGGTCGGAGGGAGGGCTATGCGAGCAATTTATATATATTCTACACTGGTTTTTAACATTGGTGGTAAAATTTATGGGGCAAAGCCCGCCCACTTTCTCGTGTCATGTCCGTCAATAAGCATCTCAGCCAACACTCTCACCGATTTCCCCGCGGCTAAAGAACCCAACTGTGATAGGTGGGCCCTCTGAGAACGGTAGTCGAACCTAATTGAGATTGTAACGTGCCATATGTGACAAGTTAGAGATACAGGGCTTCCTGCATAAAAATGTTTTCGTGACTTTTAAAGCGTTGGCAAGGGGTCCCTTGACTTGATTTTAATGAATCGCATTATTTTCTTGGTCTTGGCGGTTAATGCATATTAATAAAGTTAATACCAGCTTGCATAGCAAATTAATTAATATTTAAAGGTTACTTAATTATAAAGCCATATGCTAATCAATCCCTTATTTGCTGCAATAACCCTTGCTAGCCATCTTAACATACTTAAATAAAGATTAACTTGTCAATGGGTATTATATGTATGGTGAGGTTATGGTGATGGCTAAATATAGTGTGTAATCAATTTGGCTATGGTGTAAAGGGTAAGTTGCAGCGAAGCTGCAGCCTTCCCTTGTCTAGCTATAGGCTAGCTATGGTGGTCTGTATGCAGGGCACGTAACTGCTAGCTGGCAGCTAGCTAGCGCCGGTTAGCAGCTATTATTAATAAGATTAGTTTAAACCTTGCACTTTTAAATCTATACATTGCCTGCAGCATACCCACTACATAAGCATGCTGCACATAATGCTTATATATATTATTCCTACATTAATAATCTTTTATATATATATATATATATATGCTTTAAAATTATGCTTTCCTTTATAAATTATTTGCTTTAAGCCACTTAAATTATTTATTAAGTTAATAAAAATAAATTATTAAGTTATTAAGGGAATACTTTAAAATATTTATAATTATTTAAAGAAAATATTTAAATTATTTAATTTAAATTATTTAATTATTAATACTTTAAAGCTTTAAAATATTTAAATATTATATTTTAATTAAATATTTATTATTTTAATAACTTTTTTTTATAATTAATGTTAAACGTTATTTTTATAGCTAATAATAAGCGTTATTTTTACTTAATAATAAGGATATTATTACTTAATAATAAATATTACTCTTATTTAATAATAAAGTTATTTTTACTTAATAATAAACATTATTCTTACTTAATAACAAGCATTATTATTATTATTAAGGCTATTATTATTATTATTATTATTATTATTAAGATAAATTTTATAATAATTAATTATAAGGTAAAAGGAAAGGGAAAAACGTTTTTAAATTACGTTTATAAATTAATAATTAGCTTTTAAATTATTTATTTATAAATAATAATGTTTAAATATTATTATTACTTAATAAATTAACTTTTATTAACTTTAAAGTAATTTATATTTAAAATCTTATTAAATAATATTAATGAAAAAAAATAAATATTTTTTTTATAAAAAACATTATATTTATTAATTAAATAAGTTAACTTTTATTAAAAGGTAAATATTTTAAAGGTTTAATTAAGTTATTTATATAATAAATTAATAATAAATCTTAATTACTTCCCTTAATAATTTTAAATTAATTAAAAAAGTTACTTTTTTATTAATATTTTAAAATATAAAAATTAAGCATATTAATTAAATATATAAATTATTTAAAAAAATATTATTTATTAATATTTTAAAATATTTAAGTATTTTATGTTTTATTAAATATTTAAGGGTTTTTTAAAGGGTTAAAGGGCTTAAAAGCATTAAATAAGTGCTTTAAAAAGCATTAATTGTAAAAAAAAGCTTTTTAAAAGTATTAAGCAAGAGCTTTTTAAGGGTGTTAAACAAAGGCTTTTTTAAGGTATTACTTAAAGGCTTTTTATAAGTATTAATTATAAGTAAAAGCATAAGCATTTAAGGATACTTTATAAAAAGCTTTTAAAAGTATTATAAATAAGGCTTTTTAATATATTAATTATAAATAAAAACGTTAATAATTAAAAATGCTTTATTAAAAACTTTTAAAAATATTATAAAAAAGCTTTTAATAATTAAAAAAGATTATAATTACTTAAAAATATATTTAAAAAATTTTTTAATTAAGACTTATTATAATTATTATTAATAATAATTTATATAATAAAATGCGTTATTTAATTAATAAATTTAAAATTTTATTAATAATATATTAATTAATAAGTTAAATTTTTATAATAAAAAATTAAAGTATTATTAATTTTTTATTATTAATTTTAATTTTAATATAATTATTAATATATAATTAAATAAGTTTTTATTATTAATAATTACTTGCTTTTATTATATTAATATTAATTATTTAATATAAATATTATAACTTGTTATGGGCTCGGCCCCAGAGGGGCTGCAGGCTGGCTAGCGCTTTCTCCCATAAGCTGCAAAGCAGCAACCTTTTAACCATTAAGCCAAAAGGTACGTAATAATCCAAGCTCCCTTGGATTATCTAGCCACACTATATAAGGCTTGGGCTTCTAGCCCAAGCCCATTACATAACTTAATTAAAACGGTTTTTATTATTAATAATTATTATTTAATTAATTATAATAAAAACTTTATTATTTTATTTAATTATTTATTATAATTATTTTAATTAATAATTAATTATTATTAATAAATATTATATATATAATAAAATTATAATAATAATTAAATATAATATATAATTAATTTAATTATAATATAAAGAATAAATTATAATAAAGTTATAACCTTTTATTATTTAATTATAAGCTAGCTATAATAATTTATATATAAAATATATAATTATTAATTAATAGCCAGCTAGCATTAATTAATAATTATTATTAATAAAATTAATTTAAATTATATATTTTTAAATTTATATATTACTTATAATATACTTATTATATAAGCACGTTATATATAATGCTTATATATATTATTTTTATATTAATAATCTTTATATATATATATATATATTTTAAAATTATGCTTTTCTTTAAATTATTGCTTAATTAATTAAATCGCTTAATTAATATAAATATTTTATTTTTTAAAAGGTTATAAAGGGTTAAGTACCTTATAATTATTACTTTAATAAATTAAATATAAGTATTTAAATGCAAGTATTTAAATGTAAGTATTTAAATATAAGTATTTAAATTACTTAAATCGCTTAATTAAATTATTTAATTATTAATATTTTAAAGCTTTAAAGTATTTAAATATTATGCTTTAATTAATTAATTATTACTTTAATAACTTTTTTCTTTTTATTATTAAGTTAATTAAGGTATTTAAGGGATAAATTAAGCTTAAGTTAATAATAATTATTATTATTATATTTTTTAATAAGGAAAAAGTTATTATTATTATAAAAAAAAGTTATTATTATAAGGCTTGCATTAAAGGCATTATTAATTAAGAAAGAAGTTATAATTAATAAAGAAAAAAAGGAAGTTACTTTATAATAATTAGCTTTATCTTAATTAATTTAAGTTTTTTTTCCTTAAAAAGCTTTTATTAATATTTATATACTTTTAATTATAAGTAAAAAGTTATTATTATAAATTTTTTTAAAGGTTATTAAAGCAATTTTTAATTATTTAATTAAGTTAAAATAATTAATGCTTTTATTATTAATATATAATTATATTATATATATATATATTATAATAATAAAATATTTATTTAAGCTTATAAAAAAGCCTTTAATTAATTTTTTAAAAGCATGTCTTTATTTATTTATAAAACTTAAATTAAAATATATTAAAAAGATCTTTATTATAATTTAAATAACCCTTAAAGCTTTTAATTATATTAATAACTTTTTTTTTATTAAAGAAAGGAATTATTATTAATATAAAGATTATTATTATTAAATAAATCTTATAATAATTAATTATAAGGTAAAAGAAAAGAAAAAAACGTTTTTACGTTATGCTTATAAATTAATAACTAGCTTTTAAATTATTTATTTATAAATAATAATATTTAAATATTATTATTATTTAATAAATTAACTTTTATTAGCTTTAAAGTAATTTATGCTTAAGATTTTATTAAAAGGTAAATATTTTAAAAGTTTAATTAAGTTATTTATATAATTAAACTTATAATAAATCTTAATTATTTCTTTTAACGGTTTTAAGTTAATTAAATAAATAAGATAATTATATTAATTATTTATTTATTAATTAATACTTTAAAGGATTTAATTAAGCATGTTAATTAAATATATAAATTACTTAAAAGAAATAGTTTTTTTATTAATATTTTAAAGTATTTAAGCGCTTTATGCTTTATTAAGTATTTAAGGGTTTTTTAAAGGGTTAAAGGGCTTAAAAGTATTAAATAAGTATTTTAAGGAGCATTAATTATAAGCAAGGGCTTTTTAAGGATGTTAAGTAAGGGCTTTTTAAAGGTATTAAGCAAGGGCTTTTTAAGAGTGTTAAGCAAGGGCTTTTTAAAAGTGTTAAGCAAGGGCTTCTTGGGTGTTGCAAGGAGGGCTAAGGGTGTAAAGGCAATATAATTAAAAGTTAAGCGTTTATTATAAATTAATTAATTTTATTTAAAAGTTAAGCTTTTATTATAAATTAAATAAAATTAAGTAAAGCTTATTATTAATTTAATTAATAATTAAGGGTATTATAAAGGAGCTTGTAATAATTAAGGAAGGTTGTAATTACTTAAAGGTATATTAAGAAAAGCTTTTTAATTAAGGCTTATTATAATTATTATTATTACTATTAATAATTTATATTAATAAATATAATTAAAAATT